AAATAAATGTTATGTTTATAAATTCCATACATCTGGTCTCCCACAGATAAACCTGAAAGAAAAATTTGATAAGGTTTAATAATGCCCCCAGAGAGGTTCAAATTTATCATCCACAACATTTATCAAGTCAGAAAATTCTATAAAAAATATATTCCATCAAATCTTTTCCAGAAACATGTTCTGTATATATTTATGAATACCTATTTTCCTGCTGTCAGAAGCTGTCCTTCTTAATTTCAACAGCAGAAATAGCCAAGGAGCTATAGTCACTAAGAAGTATTCTGTAAAACTTCATATTACATATTTCTGATTTTAATTAGGATAATTTGCCTTTCTTTCAATTAAAAATGCTGGAATATGTTACAAGAAAAAGAGGGAGAAAAGAGTGAAGACAACTTGATGACGTATTTTCACATACCTCAAATGTTCACTCTTTAAAAAAGTTTTATTGTGGTAAAATATACATAATATAAAATATATGATTTTAACTATTTTTAGATGTTCAATTCAGTGACAGTAAGTGTATTCATAATGTTATGTAACCATCACCACTGTCCATTTCCAGAAATCTTCACCATCCCAAACAGAAACTCTGTACCCAATAAATAGTAACTCCCCATTCCCATCTCCTTCCAGGCCCAGGTAATCCCTATATTTTACTTTTTCTACCTATGAAGTTGCCAATTATAGGTCCTTCATATAAGTGGAATCATACAATATTTGCTCTTTTATGTCTGGTTTATCTCACTGGGCATGTTTTCTAGGTTCATCCCTATGGTGGCAAGTAGCAATACATCATTCCTTTTTGGGGCAGAATACTACTCCACAGCATTTATATCCATTCATCTGTCAACAGATACTTAGCTGTTTCCACTTTTTGACTATGGTGAACTATGCTGCTATGAACATTGGTGTTCAAATACTCGTTTCAGTCCCTGCTTTCAATTCTTTTGAGTATATACCTAGAAGTGTAACACTCATTTGAGTAAATTCTAAAGAGAAAGAGAAAGGATACATAAACTTTAATATTATAACATGTGTTCAGATCTGAACCTTGGTCAAGTTAGGTAGATTAAGGGATGCCTGAAGAGCTACCTTAAATGTTCTATAATAATGTTGCAGTTCCACTGACTCAAGATATTGGTAAATTCTGTTTTGATGAGACCTTATTATTTGGAAAGGTCCAAAATGAGAGCTTGTACCTAAAAAACTAAATCTACCCTATATCACCAATTAAAGGTTGTGAGGTTCTTCCAGTTTCAATGTTTTCCACTCATTTCAAGTCTTCATGTTATTCCACTTTATGCTCTTGACATTCAGACTGTTTCTAGTTATTACGAATAAAGATGTTGTAATAACATTATTCAGCACGTTGCATTTCCCCTGGGTACAGTGGATGGGAGTCCGCCTGCCTAGTTTCCCTAGGGTATACTAATAGGAGTGGAATACATGCCTCTTAAGGTATTCACATATCCAATCTTTCTAGGTAATACTGGTTTTTCCAAAGTGGATGACAGTAGTCCATAATAATTCCCTTTTCGCCATATACTTGTTAGCACTTGGTCATCAGACTTTTCCATTCTGGCCAAACTAGTCGAGTTGAAATGTTATCTCATTGTGGTGTAAATGTACATTATGATTATTTATAAGGTTGGGCATTTTTTCCATGTAATTTGTATTTTCTCTATGAAACACCTATCATGTCTTCCCCCACTTTTCTATTGGATTGTCTTTTTGTTATTGATTTACAAGCATTATTTAATTTAAAAAATAGCAAGAAATAATATTCATAGAGAACAGTATATACATGAAAGCACTGTTTAAAGAATAATTTAAAATCAAACTGCTGTGTAACCACCACCAACTCAAAAAATAGGTTGCCAACACTCTAGAAGCACCTCCTTTGCCCCTCCCTGATTACAGTCCCCTTCTTTGCTCAGAGGTAATTACCAGTCAGACTTTTGTGACAATTACTTCACTGCTTTTCTTTTTCTAGTTAAATCACCTGGAAATGCATCCTGAACAATATAGTCTAATACTGCCTGCTTTGGGATGTTATAAAAATGGATTCATACAGTAAATATTCCTTTGTCTTTTGCTTCTTACACCCAGTACCATGTTTGTGAATTTCATGCTACTTCATGTAGTTATTGGTTGGCCATAAAGTTCCTTTGGTTTTAAAGTAAAAATAAAAGACATATTTTTCCATTTTCACCAAGATCTTTATTGAACAACATATTCATCATTTTGTTCCACTATCTTCTGCCATTTTTCAGGCAACTTCATAATTCCATCTTCCAAAACATTTTATCTTTTTGGGCAAATAACTGTTCCAGGTGCCTTTTACAATCTTTCAGGAAGTTGAAATTTTCTCCATTAAGAGAATTTTGCAAAGACAAAAATAAATATAAATCTGTAGGTGCAATGTCTGGTGAATATAGCTGATAAATCAGAACCTCCCAGCCAAGCTGTAACAGTTTTGCCTGGTCATCAGAGAAACACTCAGTTTGCATTATGCTGATAGAAGAGTATGCATTTTCTGTTGACTAATTCTGATGCTTTTCGTCCAGTGCTGCTTTCAACTGGTCTGACTGGGATCAGTACTTGTTGGAACCAATTGCTTGGTTTTCCAAGGAAAGAGCTCATAATAGAGGACTCCCTTCCAATCCCACCGTATACATATCACCTCTGGATGAAGACTGGCCTTTGGTGTGGTTGGTGGTGGCTCATTTCCTGTGCTTCAAGATCTCTTCTGTTCCACATGCGGCTAAGGTTTTTGTGGCTTAACTTATGGGGAATCTGAACATCAAAACAACTAACATAACCAAACTTGATTGTTCTCAATTAATGTCTCTATCTCTATCAATGTCAACTGGTCTACCTGACCCTGGAGCATTGCACAGCAAGAAATCTTCTGCAAGAAACTTTGGAAACCACGTCTTTTTAAAAATTTAAAAAAAGAAAAAGATTTTTTTCTGGCCACATTATGTGGCAAGTGGGACCTTAGTTCCCTGGCCAGGACTGAACCCACATCCTCTGCACTGGAAGAGTGCAGTCTTTACCACTGGACCACTAGGGAAGTCCCGAAAACCTCTTTTGACATGTTTGATCAGTTACAACACCTTCTCCATACACTGCACAAATCTTTGTGTGTGTGTGTGTGTTTTATTTGCATTTTTACCTTTCTTGAAATAATAAAGCATAATATGCTGAAAATGTTGTTTTCCTTCCATCTTTAGGTAGACCAGTTGAAGTTGACAGAGATCCAGAGATGGAGACATTAGCTGAGAATAACCAAGCTTGGTTATATTAATGGGGCATGTTAATAGTTTTAAAATGGCTACACAAAATTCACCATTTTTAAGGTTTTTTTTTTGTTGTTTAAAAATACACTCTGATATGACAACATAATCTAACAAAACTGTTTCAAATGAAGTTAAAGACAACTAAGTGCTGCTAGAGCCACCTTACAGAAAACACCTAATGAACTTTTGGCCCAACTCAATAGTGTGTTCCTTTTGGTTGCAGTATGCCATCTACTGCTGTTGGGAGTTCTGCTGCTGCCTGGCCTACTACAACTCAGTGAGGTATCCGAGACTTGGACACTTGGGTGGTTTCAGACTTTTGTTCTCATGAAAAACCAGCCAGGATTATTCCTGTAACGTCTGAGAATGTCCTTGAGCCGGCTTTTCTCTAGAGTACACACCATAGAGCGCAACTGTTACATCTGAAGTACAGGCACCTTCACTGTTACCATGCGACCCTCTGCCCAGGACGGGTGCCCAGTCTACACCGCGGCCAGCCTCAAGAGAGTCCCCTCAGTCTACCCACAACACAGGTCACGCGACTCACTTTTGTCAAGCCAGCGCGTGTAGTCTGTCTGAACTGTTCAGTTCAGTCGCTCAGTGGTGTGGGACTCTTTGCGACCCCACGGACTGCAGCACGCCAGGCTTCTCTGTCCTTCACCAACTCCCGGAACTTGCTCAAACTCATATCCATTGCATTGGCGATGCCATCCAACCATCTCATCCTGTTTTCCCCTTCTCCTCCCGCCTTCAATCTTTCCCAGCATCAGGGTCTTTTCAAGTGAGTCAGTTCTTTGCATCAGGTGGCCAAAGTACTGGACCTTCAGCTTCAGCATCAGTCCTTCCGGTGAATATTCAGGACTGATTTCCTTTAGGATAGACTGGTTGGATCTCCTTGCAGTCCAAGGGACTCTCAAGAGTCTTCTCCAACACCACAGTTCAAAAGCATCAATTCTTCTGGGCTCAACTTTCTTTAAAGTCCAACTCTCACATCCATACATGACTACTGGAAAAATCATTGCTTTGACTAGACTGACCTTTGCTGGCAAAGGAATGTCTCTGCTTTTTAATATGCTGTCTGGTTGCTCATAACTTTTCTTCCTGAAAAGCCAGTCTCTGTGGTTTTAGCGCGTCCGGGTTAGCCCTGCGCTCCAGAGTCTTCCGTGTTGACCGGCCTCCTGGACTTCTTCGTTTTAAAGCACCTTTCCAACTCTTTCTCCCACTTCCCACCGTGCTTTTCTCCAGGAGTCCATGGACGCTCTGGACACCAGCTTTCCGGCCACCACACGCCTCTCGGTCGTTTCCTCCCAGTCAGCTTCTCTCTGAAGTTTTGTTTTGTTTTCCTCATTTTAATCTAATCAGGTCTACCCGCCTTTTCCGGTTAGCGATTGTAGTACACACAACACCGCCCCCACCTCCGCCTTGAGGGCCGCCCACTGCAGTTCCGAGCGCCCGTTCATTCTCAGCTTCCTCAGTCCGGGTCCGCGTCCCTCTGGCCGTCTTTCTGCGCGCGAGCCTCTCCTTCAGCGCCCCGCCCGCGACGTCAATGCCCGCCCCTTCCCAGGAGGCAGCGCGCAGGCGCGCCGGCCGGGCTAGCACTTAGCATAGCTAGTGCGCCTGCGCTGGGAGACGCCCCGCCCTCGAGCCGGTCATATATAAAACCTCGAGCGTGTCCTCGCGAGATGCTTGGTTCTCATGCTCGCTGCCGGGGTCGGAGGTCAGAGCGAGCGTCTCGCGGGCCGGAGAAGGAAGATGGCGGTGGAGTCGCGCGTTACCCAGGAGGAAATTAAGAAGGAACCGGAAAAGCCTATCGATCGGGAGAAGGTGCGGGTCCGGAGAGATGCAGGGGTCCCTGGGGAGGTGGGGCGGCGGTGCGGGGCCGAAGGGAAGAGTAGGGGCCGCGCGTACAGCCTCCTGACTCCTGCCTGTCTCGCCCCCAGACCTGCCCGCTGCTCCTGCGCGTCTTCACCACCAACAACGGCCGCCACCACCGCATGGACGAATTCTCCCGCGGAAACGTGCCGTCCAGCGAGCTGCAGATCTACACTTGGTGAGTCAGGGGGCCGGGGGCTCGCCTGCCGCCTTCGGGCTCTCCTCGGCTCGGGGCCTCTGGAGGCAGCTCGCGGGAAGTCGATGTTCGGTGAGGAAACGGTGTTGACTCGTCTTGTGGCGCTTTGACCGCTCACGTTGAAACTTCTGGGTTGTAAAGAATTGACTCAGGACTGCTGTCACTGTTGTGGCTGCTGGGTGCGGAAGTGACACGTCGGTCGTCCTGTGCCGCAGCGGCTCCCAAGGGGCTCTTGGTAGAGGGTGGCGCTGGAATAATTTGGGGAGGGGAGTGGTGCACTTGGGTGATACTCGTCGTCCTCATAGAGCACGTGTGCTAATATTAAGCTTTCGGTGCCCCAGCTTCAAAACAATGAAACCGGGTGGATTTTGATGTGCTTAATGGAGAAGCTTTTGATGTGTTTCCTGACGGTCTCTCCCTGAATGTTTTTGTACCTTCCCTACCCACGTCTGACTAGGGCTGTTACGTACAGCAAGCCCTATGCAGTTCCTTGGTTTGACGTTACAGTGGCTTTATAGTAGCAGTAAAAGGTGTTTAGTTTTTAAAAATATGCCTAATGTAAAATATGTGACATTTGTCGTTTTGTTTCAGGGTACATTTCGGTGCAACCATTACTACTATCTATTTTTCAAAACTTTTAAATTCCCTACGACAGAAGGTCTGTACCCAGTAGGCAATAATACTGGGAATTTTTCATTGCCCCTGGTCGCCACTATGTGTCTATGTGAATCTGCCTCTTCTAAGTATTTCATATGCTGCTGCTGCTAAGTTGCTTCAGTCGCGTCCGACTCTGCGACACCATAGACGGCAGCCCACCAGGCTCCACTGTCCCTGGGATTCTCCAGGCAAGAACACTGAAGTGGGTTGCCATTTCCTTCTCCAATGCATGAAAGTGAAAAGTGAAAGGGAAGTCGCTCAGTCGTGTCCGACTCTCAGCGACCCCATGGACTGCAGCCTACCAGGCTCCTCCATCCATGGGATTTTCCAGGCAAGAGTACTGGAACAGGTTGCCATTGTCTTCTCCAGTATTTCATATAAGTGCTCTTATATCCTATTTGTCTTATTGTGTCTGGATTATTTCACTTATAATAATTTCAAGGTTTATTGATGGTTAAGGATATAAAAAAACGTGATTCTTTTTTATGACTGACTGAATAATGTTTCATTGGAAGGCTTTGTGACATCTTGTCTGTCCACTTATCTGTCAGTGAACACAGAGGGATTGGTTCCACCTCTCAGCTAAGTTTATGTAGTATGATTCTAGTTCAGTATTATTCCAGGAAAACAGTTCAGGAAGGTCGATTTAACTTACAGAGAAGAACTTTTATTAACAGATTGATGAACACTTTTGTTCAGATTAGTCTATATTTCCTCCAATAAATTAACAGTTCCTACTTGCCATATACTTGCTTTTACTGAAGAGTATAAAGAGGGTTCTGCCCTCTTTCTAGAGTAAATTCAATCTCCAAAAGAAAGCAGATGGAATAAATGTTAAGTAAGACTTTAGGGTGGAGACGGAGGGTGAGATTGTGCCACACTCCCTACTCTCAATCAAGGAGAGAAAAATTACAAAAAATTAAATCCTGTCCTCAATTGTCCATAAACTGCAACCAAACAAGACAACCTTATCTTACACCTCAAAATGGTGGCCAAAGACAGACTGGATGTTGGTGAGGGACAGAACAGAGCCCTGCTGCCATTCCAGAAGCAGCAATGAGGGAAGATTGGGGATTCTCAATTTGTAGAAATAGATTGAGGGGCCAAAGTAGGTGGCCTTGAGATAAGTCCAGGAAAGAGGAGTGAGGAGCCCAGCAGAAGCTAGTTGAATTGGCTAAAGTCCAAGGCACTGTGTGGAGCTGGGGGAACACCCCACCCCAGCAGTGACAGATCTTGTGCTTAGGTGGTCACTAGACAGGTTACTGGAAGAGAATTATCTTGCTGACTGAAATAGGGTTCAGTGAGAAAGACCAATAGGAGATAGAAGAGCAAGAAATGGCTCACATAGTTGTGGGGACTACCTCGGTCTGTGGTGCAGGCTGCAACTCTCCAGCATAAGCTGTTGGAATTTCTTCAGGGAAGACTTAGGTCCAGTATGAAGCCTTTTCAACTGATTGAGGCCCACAGATTGATTGAATGAGGTTTACTCAGATCATCTTGGATAATCACTTTAAAGTCCACTGATGATAGATTTTTGATCCCATCTCCAAAACACCTACCTTAGTGTGTGTTTGAATAATTAGGAGCTGTAGTTTCCAAAATTGACATATAAAACTGACCCTTACAGTCACCAGGAACTCTTGTAAAGATTTGAATAATGAGAGGTTAAGTACAGCCTGATGGTGGGGATGGAGAAAAAAATAGGTATGTCTTTTGGCTGCGCATCAAGACTTGCAAGATCTTAGTTCCCAAGCAGGGATGAAAACCTGTGCCCCCTGCAGTGGAATCCTGGAGTCAACCATGGGGCCACCAGGGAAGTCCTACTTGATCTGTCTTTAGGAGGTAGAAACAACAGGCTAGAGATGGAAGAACTTTACCACTCTTAGGTTTGTGACCTGGGCATCTAAGAGGGTGATGGTCATATGGGAAGAAGGATGTTTGGGGGATACTATAGAGTTGTTTCAGGTGTATTGAGGATTCAGCAGCAGTAGAGAAGGAAAGGAGATGTGATCATTGTGGCCTTTTGCTCTCAGTGCAGCTGAAGCCATGGTTTTTTACCTGAGTGTGATGTAGTGGAGATGGTGTAAATAGGGAACTGAGTTAAAACTAGATGACTTCTTGGGTGTTTGAACCCCTGCTCGACGCTGTCCGTTAGGGCTCTTCACTGGTGCCTTGCATCCTGGGTCACTGTACAGCACCCTTCCAACAGTGCTGCTGCCAAGTTCCTTTTCCTCCATTTCATGTTCCCGTGTCAGGGAACAAGACAGTTCAAAAACTTAGACTGTTGCTCCTAATACCTGATGCTTATATTTTAGAAGATTTTTCCAGATTGTGTCATACTGGCTCAAGGTCTATATAGTTTTCAGTTCAAATAGAAATTGGCAAGGCAGGAATATATATTGTGAAAGGAGCCTATGCTTAGCCTTGAAAATTCCATGTGCTTTGTTGGCTTTTCCATCTATTGCAGAACTCATCAGAACATTCAGTCTTAGAAAGGAAAACAATGCACAATCTTAATGAAAATGCTTTCCTGACACATTCTCAGATGCATTCCAATTTCAGAGATGCTAAAATGTAGAAAAGTATGCCTCTGAAATAATGAAAAACAATTAATTTGAGAATTTGGATTAATTGGGACTAGTTATTCTTAAGTGGATAAATCACTAGGTCAGTGAGATGTTACATAGCAGCAAAGGTAGTGGGGCAATTCTGAAATCCCTTTAGCACACTACCAGTCTAGCCTGCCTTCATTCATGAAAATTTCAAACACAGGCTGATAGGGGGAAATAGTATTTGGGGGCAAATAGTATAATAATAGTATTATTAGTATTAAAATTAAGTCAGTTGTGAGACCTTGACAGTTTCTAACAAAGTTGCAATTGAGACACATGTAACTAATTCATTGTATGGCAGTATCCTTGTTACATTATTGCTGATTAATCAAGTGTCTTTTTTTTCCTTAAAAACAAAAAAATTTCAGGATGGATGCAACCTTGAAAGAATTGACTAGTTTAGTAAAAGAAGTCTACCCAGAAGCCAGAAAAAAAGGCACACACTTCAATTTTGCAATTGTTTTTACGGATCTTAAAAGGCCTGGCTATCGGTAGGTAACTTTTCTTTTTAATTCCTTATAATCTCTTTGATTTCAGTATGTTTTACCTGCTAGGGATAATGCATATTATCTTACTATCTAGTTTAGATTGTTATGTATTACATTTTCATTGTGTTCTAAGATCATGGAGCAAATTCAGCCCCACATTCACTTTTTAGGACACACACAGTGTCATTGCTTAGCCACCCTGTTAACAGTTGATCTCCTTTCCTGCAGAGTAAAGGAGATTGGCAGCACCATGTCTGGGAGAAAGGGGACTGATGACTCCATGACCCTGCAGTCACAGAAGTTCCAAATAGGAGACTATCTGGACATAGCGATCACCCCTCCAAATCGGGCACCACCTCCTTCAGGGCGCATGAGACCGTATTAAATTGTACTTGCTTTTTCTTGAATTTATTTTCCAGTCAGTTATGTAAAATAAACTTTCACTTCTTCCTCCTCTCCTTATTGCCATTAAGCCTTTAAACTCTATAACAAATTGTAATGCATCTATTTAGGAATTAGATTTGGCTTTGCTATGGTATGAATATTAATAGAAAGTCCATATGTTTCAGGTTCTTCTGTAAAATATGAAAAGTGCTCTTAGCATTCTATGTAAAACTGTATTGTTAAATATATGTTGCAATCATCCTGAGTGTGAAAGTTAATGGGGCCTGGGTTTGGGGTTTAATATAGTATTGGTTGTTTATGCTAAATAATGGAGTTGCTGTGTTTTGGCCCAAATGGGGCAGAACAAGAAAGCCATATTATATTAAATGGAACAGGGGTTTGTCACCTAGAAGCTTGTATGGACTTGGGAAGAGGACCTCTGGGAATGAGGGGGTGCAGCTGGAGTGTTTTGGAACAGTCTGAGCTGAGGCAAGTTGAAGAAGCTGTTTGTGTTTGAAGAGAGTGGCCTGCCTGAATCAGGGTGTGATGACAAGTTAAGAGAAAAGGTGCTACAGTGAGGACTTTTATGCTTTAAAATGGGGAAAATAGAGCATTCTGAGGGCAGGAAGTAGTATAGAGGAACAAGGGTTAGAACTTAGGATAAGGATAGATTTACCTTGAAGATCTGAAAATGCAGGGAGAACGAAAGAGGAAACTTAAGAGCATGGGAGAAGGTCCGGGATGAGGTCAAGCTGAGTAAGCAGGGGATGTTCACACACCCTCTTCAGTGCTGGGGCTGACTCATGTCTGATTTGAGGCAGTATACAGAGTGGTTAAAACCAGGTGGGCTGAACATTTAAATCCTGGTTACACTAGGAGCACCTTGGACAAGTTACCTGAATTTGTTTTTGTTTAAAATTTGTAAAATAGAAGTGACAGCCTACAGGACTGTGAAGACTAATAACAAAGTTAGCCATAAAGTAGGACTTTATAAAACATAAACAGAACGGGTGTTGTCTCGTCCACAGAACAGTTACAGTCTCAGTGTGCAGCATGTGATTAAGGCCTATTACCTTCGTTCTGTTGCATAGAAAACTTTGAAACTGTATATCCCCAAATGAAAAAATATATATTACTAGCGAAGTAAGATTGTAGTAATTTGATCTTATACAGACAAAAGCAGCCTTGGAAACCTAACACTTGTAGGATCAGGGTCAGTCAGCCAGCAGGTGACAGTCGTGGGCCTGGAGCCCAGACCTAGGGCTTCTTCTCTACTAAAGTTTGCCCCAAACCCCTCAGTCCTTTATTCATTCAGACCAGCTAGGCTTGAGCTGAGTCATAAAATTAACTTAAACCTGATATTTTGGAGAAGAGGAACCATCATTAATTACCATCCTGTTTCTAGAAGATACAATGTTCTCTGCAGATCAAGACAGGAAGTCAATATGGGACTTCCCAAGCCAACTTTTCATAACGGTGTGAACTCCTCCAGTGGGGCTTTCCTGTAATTATTCCAGGTTACTCTCCCACTGGCTGAAAATAAAGTGGTTTATTTGCTTTGTTCCAACATGGATTTTTTTTTTAGGTAAAATTGGTACATAACAATATATTAGTTTCAGGTGTACAGCATAATTCATTATTTGTATACACTACAAACGGATGACAAGTCTAGTTACTATGTATTGACCCGCTTTACCCTTTCTGCCCACCCCTCACCATTGATGACCAATCTGCTCTCTGTATCTATGAGTTGGGTCTTGTTGGGTTTTCTTAGACTACATATAAGTGAGAGCAGTTTCTCTAATTTCACTCCGCATAAGCCATCCATGTTGTTGCTAATGGCAAGACTTCATTTTTTGGCTGACTAATATTCCATTGCATGTATGTGTGTGTGTGTGTATCTGTTGCACATTTTTTCATCCGTCCACCTACCAATGGACACTTAGTTATTTCCATACCATGGGTATTGTATCAATAAATAATGCTGTAGTGAACAGGTGGGTGCAGATAGCTTTTCTTCACACACTTGCCAACACTCATCTCTTGTCTTTTTGATGGTAACCATGCTGACAGGTGATTGTTAATCTCTGTGGGTTTGATTTGTATTTCCCTGATTAGCACTGCTGAGCACCATTCCATGTATCTGTTGGCTACCTGTGTCCCAACATGGAATTTTTCCTTTAAAGGTTATGATCTTCCACCAAAAGTACAGTTTAACAATACCTAGTGAATTTATCATTGAATATAATGCTAAGACTCAAAAGACTTGTACTTAGTCCTTATTTACCTCTGGCTGTCCAAGTATGGCTTTGAGGTAGTAACTGAGCTATCTCATGGTCCCTTTGACAGCACCATGCTCGGCCTTCAGAGTCCTGACTACATCATGCTCTTGTGGTTTCCCATCGTGGAGTGAACTAGAGAACGCTCATTGCCTGTGATACCTTTTCAGTTTTCTCACAGGGTTTAGGAGCTTGCAGGGCTTTTTCAATGGCTCAGTGGGTGAAGAATCTGCCTGCCAATGCAGGAGATGCATGTTGGATTCCAAGATCCTCTGGAGAAGGAACTGGCCACCCACTCCAGTGTTCTTGCTTGAAGAATCCCACGGACAGAGGAGCCTGGCAGGGGGATCCATGGGTTGTACAGAGTTGGACACGGCTGAGTGACTAAAGCAAGCAAGCACAGGAGCTTGGCATCTTCAGTTCTTTACCTCAGTAGGGAGTCAGTGCTAAGTTTATACTTACATTTTCATGCTCATAGTGGTCACTGGCTGAGGTAATGTTTCAGATATCAACTCTGTATTTGTGCCTATAGGGGTAGCTGTGAAGGGGAAAGCAGTTAAAACTGTTAGGCAAACTAGAGCTGAACTCAGCCTGTTTCTATCACAAATTCCAAACTTAGTTTTAGTGTGACCAAGCAGTTATAATATGAATGCTGAGTGGTGCCTAATCTCATTTCACCTTCAGCACTGAGGTGTAGGCAGTGGCTATATCTTCACTTCAGCTGAAATGGAGGCCTGCTTTAAATAACAGCTCTCAATGTGGGCTGTTGAAGCGAGGAGGCCAACAATGGATGACTGGAAACATATTTCCAGAAATAGTGTGTTGTTGTCTTCAGCTCCCTGCAGGCTGGCGTCCACCCAGCTCCACCGATCCTGCTCTGGCAGTGAAGCTGTTGTCTGTGAAGACTCTGCTAAGGGACGTCATCTGGAGCATGTGGACCTGGTTCAGTCTTTGTACAAACCAAAATGCCTCTTTTGAAGAAATAATATGGTAATGGCTTCCGGTTTTAGTATCAGATCAGCCAATGAGGTCTGTGTGTCCTTGTGTGTACTTTATTGCTTAGTTTAGTTGCTCAGTCGTGTCCGATTCTTTGTGACCCCGTGGACTGTAGCCCTCCAGGCTCCTCTGTCCATGGAATTTCCCAGGGAAGAATAGTGGGAGTGGGTTGCCATTTCCTTCTCCAGGGGTTTTTCTTGACCCATTTATCAAACCAGGGTCTCCTGTACTGGCAGGTGGGTTCTTTTACCGCTGAACCACTGGGGAAGCACCATTGCTTCAACAAGTTGTTCTTAAAAATTTCTGTAGTTTCTTGGAATCTGTAATGGAACAACCTTGAAGGAAGTGTTTATTCTGCTAGGATTAATCATGAACTAGCTAGGCAACTATTCTGAGGACAGTTACTGATTCCGACCCCCAAATGACCTCTAGGAGGAATAAGCTAAAACCTATCCCTGGTGGCTTAGATGGTAAACAATCTGCCTGCAATGCAGGAGACCTGGGTTCGGAAGATCCCCTGGAGGACCAAATGGCAACTCACTCCACTATTTTTGTCTGGAGAATTCCATGAACAGAGGAGCCTGGCAGGTTATAGTCTATGGGATCATAAAGAGTCAGATGCGACTGTGGAACTAACACATACATACAAAAAGCAATTTTAATACTAAATACCAAAATAATTTTAATAAGAAAAACCTAAAAAAAAAAAGAAAAACCTGCCAGCCTGGGAATGTGAGGAGTTCATTGTATAAGGGTGTCCTAGTCACACGCTCACCTCACTGCATTGTTGGGGGAAAGTGGCCTAGAGGAGGGCCTGGTAGAGCGCGACTGTTCAGTAAATAGCTGTTTTAAACGCAAGATAAAAGGTGTTTGTAGCTCCTCCCTTGCTTCATGCCCTCAGTTGCCAGAATGTCCTACTCCACACGCTCGCAGGCCAGCCCAGCTATAACCTACTCCTGAGACAGTGTCATGGATAAGTTAAAATTAAAACAATTTAAACTGAATCCAAAGAACCATCTGAGGCACTCTCAAAATCTGCATACATTATTGAAAGCTGTCAGAAATTGTAATTATTACTCTTTGCATACTTCCAGGGAAAAAGTATGTGGAATGAATGCTTGTTACACACCAGGTACCCTGGGCCTGGGGTGCAGAAAAACCTGACATGCAGGTCCTTCCTCAGAAAGCCTTTGGTGACAGAAGGTATAAGTGTTCATGATCATAGGTGGACAGGAAGGCGGTGAGAGAGGTTATGCTGAAGATGTCAGGTGAGGTTGTTCAGCACCCACAGGGGTTGCGTTTAGGCTCCCAGTAGATTAAGGGTGTGGTGTCAACAAAGGCATTGAAGCATCAGGTGCTTTCCCGGAGTTTGGCTGGAGATGAAGGTGAGGAGGTTCGGGCATGGTGGAGAATGGAGGGGAAGGGGTACACCCCAGGTGCAGTCAGCAAGGCCTGGGGAGGGAAATGGGACATGGAAAGAAAAGTCCATCATTAAAGCCTCAGGATTCTCATGGGCCAAATGGAAACACTAGCACCTATTCGCTAGGAGTTACTTTTAAAAAATTCAATGGGTTGACGAATGTAATGAATGTACCACACCTAGCCCAGTTCGGACCTTCCAGGCTGGCAGGTGCCAGTGTAACAGTGAACAAGGGAGCTAGTGAGCTCCTTGTCCCCACTGAGCTTTGGTCTGGTGGGGCAAGGAACATTCTGTCACAGATTCTACCAAGTTCTATAAAGGATGAGAATGGGGTGCTGACTGGGTAAATGGTTAAAATCTTTGATAGAATGACTTTTAATCTGAGATCTGAAGCAGATAAGCCAACACTGGTAAGAGTTTCATGTAACAAGGAAATGGGGGTGCAGGGTGGGGGTGGAAGATGGATTTATGAACCACTTACCTGAAGAGGTGGAGTCACAAGTCTTCTGTGGGAACTTTAGCAGCAGCCCCTCCTCAGGTGGGCTCACCCTTTGCAGCTCTGGGTGTTCATCTCGGAACACCCAGAAAAGCATGCTGCTCTTCCCGCAAGTTCCCCAAAGGCCCAGAACTGGCTCTTAGAGCTCATGCCAGTTATGTGCTAGCCCTGACCTGTGTGGTCAGGGACTGTGGCCCTGCTTGTTAGACCTTTGCAAGAGGAGATGCAGAGTGACCGAGGGTCAGGCCACACACGGGCAGTCGTGGAGGCCACTGTGGGACCTTGGGTTCATCTTAGGAGCAATGGGAAAACACTGAAGGGTCACATTTGAAGCCTGATAAGCCAGAAGTAGCCTAGTTCTAAGGAACAGAAATTAGGATCACAGGAGGAGAGTGGTGAGAGCCAGAGAAAGAAAAATTCCAGACAAGCTCAATTTGCAAGGCCCTTACAAGACAAGTGGGGACAACCAGCAGGCCACTGGAAGTGCTTCATATAGTTTTTTACGTCCCATCTCCAACATTCCTGTTTAACTCACACCCCCTCTGGTTGCCACACCATTTCTTTCTCTCCCTTCTTGAATAAAACTCATGAAAAGAGCCATCTCAGTTCACTGTCTTTGCTTCCTCACCTCCAACCTCGCTACCCAACTCGACACTCATCCTGAGCACTCTGTGAGAATTCATCAATGCTGTAAGTAACAGTGATTTTAACAAGTTCAATGGTAATTCTGTCTTTTCTTTACTTGGATTCTCAACAATACTGACAGAATTGATCACGCTCCTTGAAATACTTTATTCCTGTTTCCCTGGCTGCCTCTCCATCTCTTTTGCTAGATTTTTCTGCCTCTTTCCATCTTCTGAAATGAGAACTCCAGGATTCAGTCCTTAGGTACATTGTGAATATACTCACTCCTCCTTAAGCAATCCTATTCACTCTGTGGACTTACAAACACTGAGCCACAGAAAACAGTGTACAAAAGGTTGATACAGTTTGGGAGTTAGCCTCATATGCTATAAGATTGACCAGAGCTTACCTTGAAAAGCAAGATTAAGTATCTTGAATTTAACATTTTATTTAGCAAAATTTAAATTATAACTACTCAGTAGTTCCCAGAACAAAGAATAAGTTGTTCTTCAGTGACAATTTTCTGACCAAGAGACACAACGTGACGCGTCTTCCCATTTGACTTTCAAGGCACAACCATAAAAGAGAATGCTTGCTGAATCAGCTCGACTTCAGTCATAATGCTCTTGAACTCCATGGACAGGGTAGCCTGGTGCTCTCAGAGACAGGTCCACAGGCACAGCTGACAGTCCAGAGAGGAGCACCCACTCAGGAGAATGCCGAGCAGCTTCCAGAGGGTGAAGCTCGGGCTCTGCTGGGCGCCAAGCTAGATGGGGGTCTGGGGAGGTTGCAGTCATGTGCTGGGAAGAGCTGATTTGAGAGGATGAAACTGACAATTTAGAGGAAAACACCCATCCTGACACAACAGCAGGTGAGTGTCTTAAGTCCAAATGTTAGACACCCCCTTTAGTATAGCTACCTAGGCCTATAAATTCCTTTTTTCCTACATCAGTTTAGGCTGTCTTTTGTAAACCACAGTGTCTGAAAAAAAATTGTTAAAATAAAAGGTGTAGAAGACTTGGGACAGTCATGAGAGACAGTGGGCAGAGCTAACCCCAAGGAAGAAGCCCAGCTCTATCAACAACTGTCGAGCCCCGAGAAGACTGAAGGTGGCCTCATTTGAGTGGCAAACAGTAATGTTTAAATTTCAAAAATTATTTATCCTGCTTCCTAATATTTAAACCACACAGTTCCATGAGGCAGGGTAAACTTGAAATCAGTGAAATAGTAATGATCTTTCAAAACTGAGCAGCTGAACTGCACAGGTTAGATTAAATCAAACGTAATAAAAAGCACGTTATGCTATTAGTCTCCATACTCATCTTTAACATGAATTGGTTTTTCAAAAGGGGGATGACGTAGGGATGTTGAAAACAAAGTGAGACCAGATTTGCATTCATCTCATTCTGTTCAGTTTCCACAATCGAAGGACAGATCCACTATCATTTCTGTAGGAAGATACAATAAAAAATATCAGTTGGATATAACCAGTAGCCTTCAACAAGGCAAATGACACGACACTGAAGACCTCTGTTTTCACACTCAGAATACAATTGGGAATGAACTCCCAGCGACATTGTCCAGGGGGCTAGTGTGGGAGCGGAGCCATAGGGATCACGAGCTCTAGGTTGTGTCCTAAGCTGCAAGTGTCAACTCCAGATGTTTACTCACCATCCCAATGTGAACTTTTCAATGTTCTCCTCAGATAACACGAGAACATACTCACCTTCACCAGTTTTCTTTGTTGCTGGCATCTTGCACATTCTGTCCACGATGAGGAAGGAACATTTTGCTGGGTGGCACCGCTCTAACTGCTACTGGAGATGCTAGGTTTGAGTTGTATTTTGATAAAATCTAAAAGAAAGCAAACTCCTTTTACCATGTCATACAAACAACATAAATCTGAAGCCTTTATAAAACAGTCAGTAAAGGTCAAGGAAAATGTGGAAATAGGGGTTATTTGAAACAGAATGTTTAGCAGCACAGACAATTCCACAGCGCAGAAGAGATGGAGACATTAGAGGGTGAGCTTGGGCATACAGGCTGGAAAGCTTCTGAATGTACCACAGGTCAAAGGAAGCAAGCACCAGGGCAGTCCCAAGAACAAATCAAGCCTTACAAAGATGCTCAAAGGACAGATCAGCAGATGCTGATAAAGATAGATAAAGATGCTCAAAGGAAAGATTATACAAAGAAGAACCTAAAGTATCAACTATGATTTTTCATAAAGAGCTGATAATGTTAAATACAATATTTCCCTCCTTTAACACAGAAACAGAGAGAAGGCACTATGGCAAACGAGACTGTGTATGATGCTATAGACAGGAAATGCTCCTTCCTCAACTTATTATAATGCCAGGAAAGCAAATGCTTTACTGGTATCTTTGCATGAATCCCTTCCAATGGCATTTGGGTATTTTCCCAAGTATTCTCCTTCTCCATAAGCTAGGAAGGTTTCTAGAATGGTTATTAAGAATTCTATTTGCCTAAGCAATAACTGCCAAACACTAACCTTTATTAAGCAGGGATGCTCAAAGAATCAGAGTGGTTACTTAGTGGAGAAAGTAGTTGTTATAAACCAGCCCAACAGACTGCTGGTAAATTATGTTGTACTAAAGAATCAGATAAAAAAATAAAAAACAAAACAAATAAAGAATCAGATATTCTATGGGACTTCCCTGACAGTCCAGTGGTTAGGACTTAGCACTTCCACTGCTGGAGCTTGGGTTCAATCCCTGCTCAGGGAACTAAGATTCTGCAAGCCATGTGGAGGTCACAAAAAAAAGAATCAGATATTCTCACATATTTAAACAAGTGCTTCTCAAACTGAGGTCCAAGACATCTGGACATCTCAAGTTCAAGAAACCCTGATTCAAGTTATTTAGAGTTCTCCAACAATGGAGAACCAAAGGGTAAATGACATTTCTGATCCTGCCAGAAACCTCAGAGGAGACATGGTTACCAAGGTGATCACATGTGAACAATCATTAGAAAGTATTTTAAGAATACATTTAAGAACATTAAATTAAAGAGAAAATGCCTTATGAGGGCACAAAAGTATGGTGACATTACAGCTCAGCTCTGAAGAGCCTTAGCCAGCTTAGATGGGCTTAACAGGCCAGAATTAAGATTTAGATCCACACCAGCACATTAGCCTGATAAATAATGCAGTTTATATCCACTTCAGGTCTTTCTGCAGGAAAAATAAACAAAACAGTAGCCTAGAAAAATAACCTGACGAATATCTTCTGGAATCATAGTAACTTCTGGAGGTGTAGGTGTTTTGAGCAGATTCTCGTAAGAAGAAATTGTAGGAGAAGAGGGATCTGCAAAATTCTCAAAGCACTCGTCTGAATTTGAAACTAATGATGTACTTTCTTTTGTTTCTAAGTCATTCGATGAACTGTTTGTGGATACCTATTGAATAAAAAGAAATCATTAAATTATGGGGGTATAAAGTAATATAGTGCTAAAAACTGTTCATCAATTGTTAGCTCTGTTGGGATCTCTAAGGAGGCCCAAAGTGACCCCCTCTTCCCTGACTGAGAACTAAATACAATCAAGGACACAAAGAAAGGGAGGACAGAGCGCCATGTTCATTACTCAGGGCTGAGGGAGGGTTGCGCGTGCAGTCTAAGCAGACTGGCTGGTTGGGCCCCAGATTTAGATGGATTCACCACCTAGACTCGGGCAGCTCTATACTGGCCAGGCCAGAGTCATAGCGATGATGAGCTCTGCCAGGGAGGTAGTGGCCCATTCCCACTGACCTGGCCTGTCTCCCCAGGGGCAGAGGGAACACTGAGGGGGTGCCTTCCACATGGCCAGGAACATAAGAGGATTACCACAAGGCACATGGTGCAATTATACATTAATAAAATTAAAAAAAAAACTGAAAGTGAGTGCCTCAGCTGCACTAGACACATTTCATGTGTTCAGTAGTTGACTCCCAGCTGGAGAGCACACAGTATAGACCATTTTCATCACTGCTGGAGGATTCGCTGACAGCCCCCTCTACCAGACTGGTTATCTAAGTGTGCGTAACTTGACACAGGGATGAGATTTTGCGTACGTAGTATATTTGTTCACTGGGAAGATTTGGAATAAAAGGTGTAAGAATCACCCATTTTGGTGTTTCTATCCAATCTTCTTCCTTAAAATATATGTGTATGTGTGTACGTGTATACATACACATACATATCACTGTCCACATCGTTAAATTTTTCTTGAAGACATTCTATGTTCTTATCTGTTTTTCAAAAACATGCTTGCCATATGACACTGGATCTTATGGATTTCCTTAATATGCTTTTTTCCCCCTTTATCATTTGACATTTGTTCCCATGTTCTGCTCTTATAAATAATGCTATTACTTTACTGTTATAAATCTCTGCCCCAATATGCCTGAGAATAAATTCTGGTTAAAGGGTGTGAAAAAAATGGAAAACTCTGGATACATGCTGCCAAATGATCCTCTGGAAATACTAAATACACTCCCTAAGGCTACTGCAGCCTATGTATTCTAAACAGACTGACTGAGTCTGGAAATAAGTGTGTCTGATTCACTAGGGATGGATGTTTACCATAGCTGTGCTGCTCTTTGTAGAAGGGACTTTCAAACCAGGAGTGCAGAATGTAGGTGCCAAGGGAGAATGTGTGTGCTCAGCATCTAGAAGACACATACAAGGGCATGAAAATACAGTATCAACTGTACACTTTATTTTTAATAACTTAAAATATTCTAACTTTAGTGTGTACTTGACTGGAAAAAAAACTGTCATATTCACAATCTAATTATCATTCAAAGTTCAAAGTGTTAGTCGCTCAGTTGTGTCCAACTCTTTGCGACCCCATGGACTGTAGCCCGCCAGGCTCCTCTGTCCATGGAATTCTCCAGGCAAGAGTACTGGAGTGGATTGCCATGCCCTCCTCCAGGGGATCTTCCTGACCCAGGGATCAAACCCATGTCTCCTGTATTGCAAGCAGATTCTTTACCATCTGAGTCACCAAGGATTAGCACTAATAAAAGCTTAGCAAGGTTGCAAGGTGCAAATGTAACGCACAAAAATGAACAGTTCTTGTATAAGCTCTACAAACAATAAAAACTATATTTGAAAAAGAATATATTTTACAATAGCAACAAAACTATACCTACATATAAATTTATTAAAAACTGTGTAAGACCTTTATGGGAAAATCAAATTTCTGCAGATGAAACAGGAGGAGGAAGAGGTCAGGAAGGTCACTTGCCTTCTAAGATATTAGGGCTTACTCTAAAGCTATAGTAAGTAACTACAAGTTACTTGATTAGTCAGGGATGGAAAAACAGCCATTGGAACAAAAAAGAGATCCTAGAAACCATGCATAAAGAGAGATTTGCTGTCTGTAACAAAGTGTGAAAGAAACCTTAAATACTAGAGAGAAAAGTAAATATGTTAGCAAAATGATTAAACAGGCAAAATTTTACCTAGTCTAATCATCAAATGCTAGAAAAGATGGGAGACACAGGAATTCAAACAATGTTGGAGAGAGTAAACCAGAACAGCCACTCTACAGTATCATTTTAGCATTTTCTAGACTAAGTAAGTGATTCCCAGGTAGCTCAGTGGTAAAGAATCTGGCTGCCAATGCAGGAGATGCAGGTTTGATCCCTGGGTCAGGAAGATCCCATGGAGGAGGAAATGGCAACACATTCGAGTATTCTTGCCTAGAAAATCCTATGGACAGAGGAGCCCGGTGGGCTAGTCCATCGGGTCACAAAGAGTTGGACATGACTTAATGACTAAACAACAACTATCCCTTAAGAAACAAATAAAATATGGCTCTATTAACAAGATTACACTTAACCAATATGCTCTTATAAATTGAGCTCAGTTTACTATGAGTCAGTTGTATGTTTTCAATCTTGTTTATGCCATCAGTACTTGTTAATTTAGTAAGAAGTCAGTGAAATTAGCACAGAAAGAGAACTTTTCTGAAAATATGTCCAAAACTTTAAAGACTTGACAGGATAGTTACCTTAAAAAGTTTTCCAATAAATTTGGTATAGATTAGATGATTATAATTATTCAAAATCATAAAACTCTAGGATTTTCAATTTTATATTTACATAAAAACCAATGTTTTCATGTTTGGTGGGACAAATGTGAAAACACTACATGAAAATATTTTAAGTTTTTCTACTATTAAAAAAATCCAAAATCTGAAATGATAGCTGATGTATTCTGGGTGTGGTTTATGTAAGAAGGATTATCTAGAACTCTAATCAATCAGCTGAAGCTAAATTCAAACAAAAAAAGTACTATTGGCTCTATATTAAAGATTTGTGAGTGAATATTTATATTTTAAGTTAAAATGTTAACAAACAAGCTCAAAAATACTGAATACAATCAGGAAGAGTGTGAAAAACAGAAAACTGTATTTCTCTTGTATGAAATCATACTGAACCTGAATGGAATGGTACTTTATATAATTCAGTATTATGAACCGAGAAGATGCAGAAGGCTATTAGAATGTCTTAGGTGATAGCACCATTTATTGTACAAAATTCCAGATTCTTTCCAGGCTGAGAAATAACCTGAAATTCATACTTACCATTTTTTCCCAACGGCTGGGTTATGAGGCCAGGAGTGGCAAAGACATTATCACTGGGCACTGGTTCTGTTTCTGTGGTCTCACTGGTACGATTCATAGGTAAATATTAGAGTTAAAAAAAGTTAATATTAAATCTCTGGAAAATTATTTAATTTTATTATATATCATTAAGTCTGGACATTCAATTATATTTTATGGAAGATAAATTCCATGGAAATCTTTTTTCTCTTCTTTTTTTAAAATGTATATCCATAGCTCAAAAAAGGTTAAGAACTATTTTGTATTAGCAGCTTTGACTTAGAAGTGTTTAAAAATCTTTTGACTTAGTTAATTTCCTGGTGATCCAGTGGTTGGGATTCTGCTTTTTCCACTGCAGGGGGCGCAAGTAGGGGAAGTAGGATCCTGCATGCCACACAGGAAACTGTGCTCTTGGCTTCAAAATCATAAAGTGGAGTTTTATACCAGTATATAGACAGAGATTAAGAACATTGTTTAGACTAAGACTGACCCTGCCATCTTTAATTAAAGTTGTTCTAGCCAATTACCCAGATGTCTGAAATATAGTTATAAAAAAGAATATCACTGAATACAATAAAATAGTTCAGTTAACAAACTGTCCTAGTGTAATTTACTGAATAATCTTTACTTGAAAAACATCTTCAGTATATATTAAATTCTTACGTAAATTACAGGCTGTTTCTGGGCTATTCTGTTTCTACAATAGGTCCATTCTGTCACAATTTGATACTGTTTTACTTATTGTAGCTTTATATATTTTAATAACTAGTAAGTTAAACCCCTTCATTACTGTTATTTTTCATTATTTTCTAGTTATCCTTACTTTTTATTATTCCAAATCATTCGAATAGTTTTCTCACACATCCCTCATGCTCCACCTTAGAGGAAAAAAGAAACCCTAAGGTTTTATTTTAATTGTATGATATCCATAAATTAACTTGATATGATTAAACATCTTAGTAATATTCAGTCATTCTGTGCAGGAACATGGTATACTTTTTCATTCTAATTTTCAGAAATGTTCAGTGGTTTTATTCACATAGGTCTTTCACATACAACTGCAGGAGTATTTTACTTTTTTGTTGAGAATTTTAATGACTTTTCCCCTGTATTTACCAACTAGTTATAATAAAATATAGGAAAGCATATTATTTTAAGTAGTTATCTCATATAAAATAAGTCTTACATAAGCTTCTACAAATTTTAGCTGTGACTTTCTCAAGTTGCCCAGGTACAAAACATGGCCTAGAAATACATCATGGTAGTCTTTATTTCTGTTTTGTATCTCATTACATTGGTTACAACATCAAGAACAATGTTAAAAAAAACGAAACAAAATAAAACCAATGATGTTTAATAATGATGACAGCTTCACTATTAAGTCAGGTATTCACATTATTACATTAATGAAGTATCCTTCTACTGAGAGATAACCAATTTAAATGAAGAACAGGTGTCTAATTTCATAAAATTCTTGACATCCATTGAAATTATCCTATTTTTTTTTTTTGAATCATAGGAAACTTGTATTTTACGAGTTTCCAAATACTCCTGTCTCTTTTCTCCAATTGTTTTTTTCTGACACTTTAAGTTGAATGTTTATTTTCTTTTTTTAATAACTACAGTTCTTAAAGATATGCATTTAAGAGTGGTACTTTGATATGTGGTATTTTCATTTTAACATTAATTAAACTTCCATACAGATCACTCCCATATCTCTTCAGTGTAGCATGGAATTCATCACTGTGCTTCAAATTCATATTTCAATATCTAAGCTTAAGAGTACCTCAAAACCAACATGTAAAGAAACTCAACATGTTTACCTCCAAGCTGTGCTCAGTCGTGGCTGACTCTACAACTTCATGGACTGTAGCCTCCCAGGCTCCTCTGTCCATGGAATTTTCTAGGCAAGAACACTGGAGTGGGTTGCCATTTTTCTCCAGGGACCCCCAAGCTGCAGGTATTCTTTTAGTTCCTGAATGTCATCTCAGGCAACAAATCAGAAATCTGTGCTCTATCCTAGATCCTCTTTTCTTCCCAAGTTTCCATATGGAAACAATCCCCCCACTTTTTTCTTTTTAGTAATTTTAGTTTTTATTTCATCCCCTCTTCTCTATCCCATCAAATACAAAGTGTTTTCCGACTATTATTCAAAATCTTCTATATCTTCTAAACCAAGGAAACTTAAGAGCTCACACTTTACTGATGGGATTGGTGATTCAGAGAAGTTTGAAATATGAAGTACCTGGAAACCTTTGAAAGAAAGGTATTGTCTGAGAGAGATTTCTTCTAGGGGGAAAAAATCAATAAATACAAAAGATTTAGAAAGTTAGATAAAATATTCCTTTTAAGAAAGCTGCTTACCTGTTAGTTTTCACATTTTTAAGTCCAATTGTGTAATCGTCATTTAAACACATAGTATATTCAGAGATACCAAAGTGTTCTAATTTAGGAGTTACACACTCAAAATCATCCATCTTTAGTGCACATTTTGGAGTTTTTACTAGTGAGTATTTGGAAAATGGAGTTAAAACTTTTGGCTCTTCCTTCTGGTTGTTTACTGCTTGGGGAGGGTTTGGTAGAACTTGGGATACGATGTACCGCTCAAGTCCAAAATCAGAAAGTTGTGGACTACGCGGTGACTTCTCAGAAACAGAAGTGCTTGCAGCAGCAGAATCCAACAAATCATCTTTCACGTCAGGCTTCGCAGGACGTTCACATTCACTGGACTCTGGTTTAGAGTCAGTGACTTCTTGCTCATCCACTGAGAGGAAAAATCAAGGTCATATTCTGGTCAAATATCAAACTAGAAAATGTCATATACTACAACCACATAAAACAGCTCCATCTGAAATGTCCTGTCAGCAAAAGCTCTCTCCTTATTTTCTAAGGAGAAAATATTCTTGTTTTTTAATTTCAATTTTACTTTTCACTTTCTGATATGTACTGCTTATATCCCCATGTTTCATCTTAAGGATACATCAGAGGACGGAAGTAAACTGTTCAAAGATGAAAAATCAGTACCCACAAATAAAACTGCAATTTCTTAACACTAGCCCTATAGATCTCTGTCAGAATCTTTTGGGCTCAAAGGCAGAGAAAAGGGGTAAGTTTAGGCTGTACATTTACTTGACCAACAGATCCAACAGATTGAGGGAAGTGAAGAGGCACACACTTTTTCTTTGAAGACATTACTTTTCTTGTTTTAACTGGCAGCTGAAATGAACTAGGATAGGATATTGTCTTTGTGTGCATGATAAGCCACGACACAATAAATCTGAAGGATGTACCATTTAAAAAAAAAAAGGTTATAAAAACTTTGATTTCCTGGCTTTTGGCCCTTGAAGAGCTGCTGATTCAGAATTGTGTTTTGGCATTGTGCTTTCTGTTAATTCTGAGAAACTCAGAAGAACTACCAGAAAAACTACTGTTGAATTGATTACAATGCTGTCACTGATGAGTTTAATAAAATAAAGTCATCACCATTATTACTACCTCTTAGGGAGGTATTTATTAGCAGCTCTATGTCACTAGTGAGTAAAAGTAATTTAGAGAAATTACTATTACATGTAATGGTAACTAGTGGAACCAGTTTCTGAGTAACCAAAGTCAACTTGTTCACACCAAAGTCAACTGAATTCTTTCCCTTATACCATGCAGACTGTTTAACTTACCTTTCATATATCTCAATATGTACATATTTGTTGAATCTAATTAATGTTTTATTTACACACAAAGATCATTTTCATAACAGAAATGAAGACACTGAAGCGTACTGAAATTAGTTCCTCACAGGTATGGCTATAACACTAACAACAATAGTTATTAACACTGGATGATTAGGATACAAGGTCCCGTTCTAAGCAAATTTTGTCTCATTTAATTCTTACACAACCTCAGAGATGGATATTATTAAATATCTCTACTTTATAGGACTTCCCTGGTGGTCCCGTAGTCAGAACTCAGCACTGCAGGGCTGTGGCCCTGGTGAGGTCAGAAAACAAAATCTCTACTTTAGAGATGACAAATTGAGGTACAAAGTAACTGGTCAAAGATGAATATAACTAGTAAGTAGTGAAATTAGATTTGAACTCAGGCAGTTTGACTCTAAATTCTAAACTACCATGCTCTCCTACCCGTCATCAGCATTTTATAACTAAAAAGGACTTTATGAATTTACATAGCCCAGATTTTCTCATTCTATGGAGGAAGAAACTGAGAACGAGAAAGTGAAATAGCATGGCTTAAGGGTGGTCTCTGAGCTACTTATTGCCAAAACTGACCAACAACCAGCTATCCTTAAGTCACATAGATTTATCTTGTACCCTTCTTTCATCCAGCACTGTATTGGTTCTCATCTAGCATTTGTAAAGGAGAGCAAGAACTGCCTTCACACTGCACTACCCATCAGCACTGCATCCAGAACACAGGGATTGCTGAATAAACAATCAAATGTCTATCACATAATGGCAGAATCAGAACTAGAAATGATGGCCAACCCTGTAGTAGTCTTAATCATGCTGCTTTCTTTAATACTAAAACAAATGCTATAAAAGGCTAGTTATTCACACCTGAATTTTTCTTGGCACGTGGAGTATATCCATACTTCTGGAAAAACTCTTTTATTTTCATGATATCCATTGAATTCTTTTTCATCAATATTTTTGTTGCTTTTATGAAACCAATGTTTTCTTGACTTTCCAAGTTTGCTTTATCAAGAAGAATACTGACATCATCCTTTCATGAAGAAACAAAGTACATTTTAATTGAACATTTGCCTAAGTCTATTTATAATTTTGTAAAAATTACCACATAAAAATGATAAATTAATATTGTAGGAGTGATACCTTTAGAATTCGTACTTCTGAGTTAAGGTCATGTAGAACTCTCATTGGACAATCTTCAAAGTCTTCTACGAATATTGAATGGAAAAAGTATAACAAGGAAATGGAGGGAAAAAATAGAAAATGTAAGTTTTTTAGAATTATAAAATCTTTATATAGAAAAGTAAAGAAATATACAGTTTGATGAACTTTCAAAGTGAACATACGTACATTGATAAGCAGGTAAAGCTTTATGGAAAGCAATTCTGCTGTATATTAAAAATCCAAAACCATTCATACAATTCTGTGTCTTATAGCATTATCTCAACCATGTAAACAAAGTAAAGCATAACAAAGCAACAGCGAAAAGTAAGAATGGTAGAAAAGCTATTGAAAACTAATAGCGGTGTCTTTTGGTGGTGAAGTTACAGAAAGATTTTCTTCTACTTTCCCATTACCTCAAACTTTTTGCCGTGCACATATATTGTTTTCAGTCACAGCATAAATGTTTTGAAATGGCTGAAAAACTATCGACAACATTATTAAAGTAAAAGGAATCTGTGTCTACAGGGTGCAATATTTTAAGGCATATTACAATTACGACACAAACAGTAATCTCAAAATCTGAATTACTCTTCCAACAACTTAAAAAAAAAACCTAATACAAACGTCAGTGGTGGAGAATTCTGCTTTATTAGAAAGCAGTGTTGAGTAACTAGCGTTTCTGCAGGCAATACGATTGCTGGGGAAAATACAGACACTACGACTGTGGGCTATTTTAGTTCAGTTCAGTTCAGTCACTCAGTCATGTCCGACTCTTTGCGACCCCACGGACTGTGGTCTACCAGGCTCCTCCATCCATGGGATTTTCCATGCAATAGTACTGGAGTGGGTTGCCATTTCCTTCTCCAGGGGATCTTCCCGACCCAGGGATCGAACCCGAGTCTCCCACATTGTAGACAAACGCTTTATCATCTGAGCCACCAGAGAGGTCCTATTTGGGTGAGATCAAAGTCACTCCACGTGTCAAGAACAGTGCGGAGAAGCTGCTATGAAACGATACGTTTCCTCTTTTGGTCGTGTTTTTATTAACACTCTCTGTGGACTTGAAGCCCGCCCCCGCCCCCTGGGATGGCACCTCACACCCTTCACCGTCCCTCCCGCGGCTCACTCACCGCTGTCCTCTCCGTCCAGCGCTCGCTGTAGCCGGGCCGTCTCGCTGTCCAGGGTGACGGCCAGAGACCGCAGCTTCCCGCAAAAGCCTCGGATCGGATCCATACGAGAGGCCAGCTCCCCGCCTCAGAGCCCGCGGCCGTTTGAATCCCGGCACCTGAAACGCCATTGGTTCTCGTAGCCGCGAACGGCCTTTCTCGCGATAGGTGAAGCCTCACGCGGGGAGACGGCTGCGGGCCGGACGGGGCTCTTCCGGCACCCCACTTCCGGCGTCGTTCCCCGGCGTGTGGAGAGCTGTTCTGACGCGCTGCTGGTGAGTGAGGCGGCGCGGGACGAGGCGGCCTGCGGGAGGCGGCGGGGCTCTCCTGTCCGTTTTCCCCCGTCTGGCGCGCAGTCAGCTCTTCTTTTCCCCTCGGCAGGCACCATGTTCCTGACCGCGCTCCTGAGCCGCGGCCGCATCCCCGGCCGGCAGTGGATCGGGAAGCACCGGCGGCCGCGGACCGTGTCGGCGCTGGCGAAGCAGAACGTGATCCGTCGCCTGGAGATAGAAGCGGAGAACCACTACTGGCTGAGCCGGCCTTTCCTCACGGCCGAGCAGGAGCGCGGTCACGCGGCGGCCCGCAGGGCGGCCGCCTTCAAGGCGCTCAAGGCGGCGCAGGTCGCCAAGTTCCCCGCGCACCGTCGGCTGGAGGACCAGCTCGACCACCTCAACGTCACCAGGAGGTGGTACTCACCGTGAGCCCCGCCGGCCCCCGGCCCCGCAAGCTCCATGGCCCACAGTGAGGGCTCGTTCGCCCCGGGTTACTCCCTCGCCTCCCTGAAGGACGGTGCGGACAGGGCCTGCGTCACAGACGACACAAACGTCGTTTGTACGAGGCCGTAATAAAGCTACCAACTGTGCTTTTGGGGCGTCAGTGCGAGATTCTTGTTGGGGCTTGATCACGCCGCCGTACCTTCTGTCAACAATAACTGACTAAACGCAAATGGAAAAAACGAGCTTTTTCAGTTAAACAGACTCATAGAAATAACGTTTTCTGCTGAGCTTTACATCTAAAAGTGGACAACTGAAAATTATGTTCAGTAAAAGCTAAATTAAAGCTTTTTTGATAAAGCCATCTATACTTTTGGCCTAGGTAAGCTACAGTGTTGTCACAGTCAAGTAATACTTGTGGTTAACCCAAATTAGTAGATTCTTATTTCTAACTCAACACTGTATGTTACCAGATTTTCAAGATGGCAAAAATCATAGCTGTTCTTTCATTTTGTAAATATCAGTTTATAACAATAACAACAACTGTTCAAATACAGGACTTTATTTATTAATAAAGTAAATCATCATCATGATTTCGGGAGAAAAGTTTTAAAATGTTCAACCTTCATGTTAATGTAGGTTAGGCCACCCAAAGACAAAGCAAAGATATTAAAGTCATGGTCCAGGGTTACACTCATGAGAAACAAATACAAGACTTATGGGACTTGATAAGTAAAAACAAAGTAAACTGTATTCCAAATTCGTTTATATAAAAACATTAAAGATCACCTTAAAATAGTGTCCATCTTATGGGCATAGACTTATCTGCAATCGTACAAATATGATAAACTCAGCTAATCGCTTTCTGAAGCTTTTAATACAAATACAGTTCCTTGCTGCTTTATGCAACTCAACAAAATATAAAGTGAAGTCGTTAGAAAAATATGGACCTTTCTGAATCTATATTGCATTTTAAATTTAAATTGGAAAATACAGTTCACATATGAAACATGATTTCAGGTTTACATATTAGCTGTATCATAGAATATTAAATATGGTCTTTATTTTGGCTGAAATGCAAAAATATGGTTAATTTCTCAACAGGTTAGTTAAAAATACTTTGCGTTGATAGCAGTGTAAGCAAAACATCTGTAAATCATTTGTCTTCAGCGCTGCAAATATGCAGATCCTAACACTAAGCCCTTATATGCATCTGCTTTAAAGATGATGGAAGGGAATCTCACATAACTGAAAATCTGTAATTTAAGCCACGGGACAAACAGTCAAAATCTGCTTTCAACAGAAATAAAATTCAAGTACACACTGCATATTTGATTTAAGCTAAGTTCAATTAACTTAGGACACGTTGGGTCATAACCACTAAATATGTAAAAGGATTTTAAAAACTCTTCCATATGCAAAGATGAAACTGCTTTTGTAAGCGGTGCAAGTTTAGTGACCACTAAGTTGCAGCTGCTCTTTGGTTTGGCACAGTGACAGTGGTCAGATGTCTCAGGTACTGAATATTCAAGTCAGTTCGTACCCAGGTAAATTCAAGTTTCCTGTCTTAATTTGTTTTTAATGGCAATGGCAAGACCTGAAATTCAACTTTACTTTCCTTAAATATCACAACTGTTTAAGTGCTTGAAGCAACAAAGATCCTACTAATACATTTTGACAGGGCTTCATTTTGACCATTTTACCCCACAGGTTGGCAGCACTGATCTGTAGCATCTGAAATAACACCAAGACAGCCTTTCCCTGGTTCTCATCCCACTGCAGGCCCTTGCTGAATAGTCATTAACATGTATGAATAAACTTGGTCAATTATTATTTAAAATGTGGCAGATGCTGGTCATAAATTAATTAAACCAAAGGTAACAAAGGCTTTAGCTGAAAATTTCTGAAAAGGTGTATACTATGTTATTAAAAAAGATGATGTTAAATGACAGAAATTGAAAGAATTGAAAAAGACAAAAACACCAAAAATCACCGAGATAGGTTAAGGGGAAAACTAAGTTTCCTCAGTTGTTAATCCGGTGCATGCAGATCTTTTGACTTGAATATAGAAATGTCCATAAGAAGTACCAGGAGGACATTTCTGAAAGCAGGCATATACATTTAAATATTTACCATTTCCTTATAATATGCAAACTGCCAGACTAAAGTGATGTTTCTGGTTGGAAACTGATACCCCTTAACTCTCACAAACATTTTCTAGAATCAAGATTATTAAGACTACTGTGTTGAAATAAAGGTAGAAGCCGTATTATAGTATTCCAAATTGTATTTTCAAAGCTAACTCATTCCTCTAGTTCAAAGGGGAAAAAAAATTACTTCCTTTTAAAATCTAGTAATATAGCCCATGAAGTTAGACAAATCCTATAAACTGTAAACCTGCAGTAGACGGCTATAAAATTTATGTTACATTAGGAAATTACAGAGCTATCCCTAGTATACTGTTTGGCGTCCAAAAATATTTGTTGGACAAATGTAAAGTAAGGTATTGTGCAGAATTAGAATTCAAAGAATGTTAAAGGTTGTCCCATCCAAATCATAACAGCCCTTCCCCTACTCCCATTTTACAGAGAGAAAACTAACTGGGCTATTTATAGATGCTGGTTAAAATCTACCCACTTCCAGCAGCAATCAATCATTTTAGTTTTGACTAAACAGTATAAACAGGACGGTACATTGTTTCTCCTTATAGGATATGAATTCTAATCTTTAAAGTTAACGCAGCAATTTCTGTCATGTAGATTAGACTTCAAAAGGAAAAGGGGGTAAGTGTCTAGGCAGAAAGGGGTTGCTGTTAGGAAGTCAGATTTAAAATCCTGCATATGAAAGTGAAATCCATCTCAGAATGGAAGTTTTGAATGACTGCTCAGGTGAGAATTTGTTTCTTGACAGTGGCTAGGGTTAATTGTTATACTGAACAGTTTTACCCTCCAAATGCATTTTAAGTTGCTGTCTAAGCTGTTATGGGATTAATGTAAAAAGTTTCAAAGCAAATTTCAGTCTTAAAATTGAAATTTGAAAAAAATATTGAAATTTGAAAGTCAACTCAACAGCAGGTAACACTCTGAAAACATATTTTAACAGGTTACTTATAGCTTCTCTTTTTTCTTCTAGTCACTTCAACTCAATCCTGTATTGAGTATTTCTATAGCACATGTCCAGCTTTTCTATAGCTTTTCTATAGCATGTCCACATTTCTATAGCACATGTAACCTTTGTTTCCCCACCCGTATAAATACCCATGAAAGTTCAACAAAAAAGTGCATTAAAAGCAGACACAAAAAATTTCTTACACTGCCAAATAAGCCTTGGGCACAAAACTACAATTGGTTTAATTAATGCTTAGAACTAAGCCTTCAATGAATTATACAAATATGCTCCAAATGATTATATTTAGGTATCTAAATCCTTCTGAGTGTTATTTTATAGCCAACAATAAAAAAATCTGTTAAAAATGTTGAAAAGTATAAAACTATAAATTAGCAAACACCAATTTTTTTTTTAAAAAGCAGTTATTTTCTTTCTTACACAGTACAAGCAGCAGTAATTTGCATATTATTATTCACTTTCAGCCACCATACTGACCTAGATGTACTTCACTTAAGTTTTTAGCTTGTGTTTCTAGAGTGAAAATTTATATGGATACTAAGAAACAACTCTTAATAATGTAACCCAGGTATCAAAACAATGCATATGTCATGTTAACATGTGACCTGATAGCTCATATTATGGCATCTCATGTTATTATGAGAAAATGTTACTTCCAAAGGAAAATGAAGTCTCTTTTGTAGCTGTGAGTCAGTGCTGAACAAATGGGCTCATTTAAGATTAAGGCATCTTCCCGCTCTGGAGCAGTGCTTCTGTGGATCCAGAAATCCGTACAAAGGTTTCTTTTTTTAAAAAATATATCTTCGTTTATACTTCAATTATTTCATCCCATTGATCATTTTCTTGCAAATAAAATATCAGCCCCCAATATGTTTTTGTAAACCTACAAAACCAGAGACAATTTAATTATTAAAACTTGATTTTATATTTCTGAAAATAAGATTGATTAAACAGTTCTCTGGGCTAAGGTATAAAGCTGCTAATATAACAAGAAAGGAAATACTTTAATTCTAATAATATACTCTTAATAATAAAGGTTTTTAGAAGCTGAAGACAAGGGCCAGATCACTGACTGTCTCCCTGAAGCCATCACATGAGCATTTTAATAGAGGCCGAGGCTTACACTTTTCCCTTACTGTTAACCTGGGCCTAAGCTGAGGAGACTGCTACTGGATGTCTGTGGGAATTTCAGTGAGGATTCTTCAATAGGAGCATCAGCCATCATTCCACCTATACGCAGAAGAGCAGAGCCAGGACCGGGAGCCCTGTCTGAGGAGGACCAGCTCTCCCCGGGGCAGCTGGTGACACGTGATTATCGCCTGTGGCTCAGGCTGCCCCCTGCCTGCTGGGAGCCCCAACAGGGGCTGGTGATGTGCACACGGGCTCCAGGTCCTCATAAGGAACTGAATGCTAATGACAGACACCCAGGAGGCAGCAGATGTCCCTAGGTGAGATTACAGGTAAGAACAGGACAACTGGGGTAATAAAAGGTGTCCTGTCTTACACCGCTCAGTCTGTATACTTTGTTAGGCAGCAACAGGGAACCAATAAACACCACACGCGGGTTTTAAAAAAAGCTGCACGTGATGCTTCTGAGCCAGTGAGCTTAGCTTCCAACTGACACGTGCACGGCTGTCTTCTCGAGGGCTCAGTGTCAGCGTCAGCACTGCCCTCAAAAGGGCTCCTAGTCCTATTTAAGTCAACCTCCTCTGGCTACTGTTCTGGGCACAGAGACGACATCACTGGCCTGGGTACTTGGCTACAGAGAACTGCTTTCTGCTGCATCTTTTACCAAGTAAATAACATCAATGAACCTCTTAAGTCTCAATCACTCTTTTCTGGATCAAATTTCTTCAGCACTGGGCAAAAGTCACCTTTTCCCCTTAAATAAATTAATAAGATACCATTTACTGAAAAGGTTAGTTGTCCATATACCAATCCTAAACAATTTTTCTTCATTTCTTCATTAATCTACCAATAAATATTTAGTAAGACTGTGCTAGGAATGGGAAGAAAACTGGGAGGTAGGCAGCTGTGACCTTTCAATCTGTCCTGAGCTATTTGATACTATAATGGAAAGAATGAGAAAGACTCAACTGCAGACTCTTGAGAGTATGACATGCAAATAAAGGGCAATTTTTGGAGAAATTACCTTTATACTGTCTTACCTTGCTCTTATTCAATTGGTTAGTTATGAACAAGTGGTACTCAATTTTCTATTGCCACTGTTACATGGTTATTTGTCCCTGTAAGCACATAATTATATATGACATGACAGAAAAAGATGTATTAGGTTCCTAGCTAAATGTTAAAATTGACGATCACAGTAAAACCAAGTCTTATGTAAGCACTACATAGGCTTCTGGTGCCAACCATCTGTCTGCTGTTAGAACCCAGAAGGAAGGAAAGCAGTGCTAAGATTTGCAAGTCTGGTTTTCACACTAGGTGAAAATGTCCACTGGCTCTAAAGATGTTTAACAGAAGTCATTTCAAGTCCAAAAACCTGATTTTCCCTTGACTTCATACTGAGGGGCAAATAACCTGGATGAAGGCCTTAATGATGCTCAGTTAAGAGAGTTTAAATGCTGCTGAAAGCCAAAACAATAAGTCAGAAATTCTGACAATAAGTTTTCAAGTTTTAGGCTCTTTCTTAGTTACAAATTGACTGTTAGTTACAAATGGATCTGAATGTCCAAACCATTTTCCTAGAGTGCAAGAAGAATATTATTACTAGTGTTATTAAGAACCACAGACATGTATAAAGCTAGTAAATGGTCAGACTACCTATTACAAACCCAGACCTGACTCAAAATCCCACTTCTATCTTACCAACTGTTCTAGAATGTATCCACAAATTCATGAAATGATTAAGAGTCATCACTAAAAGGTTAAAATATACTGAGTAAACTCTTTTTTATACTAAGAAAAGACAGCCAAAGAGTACAAGGCATTCCAAAATTATTATCTTTTCAGGGACTTCCCTCAGGGTCCAGTGGTTAAAGACTTCACCTCCCAATGCAGGGGGTGCGGGTTAGATCTCTGGTCAGGGGGATAAAATCCCACATGCCTTGTGGCCAAAAAACCAAATCAAAACAGAAGCAATCGTAACGAGTTTAATAAAGACTTAAATTATTTTCAAATAAGCGAAAGCTATGACCCTAAAGAATAACCTTGTTTAAACATTATCCAGAATATTGTGCCTAAACAACCTTCTACATCTGAGGTGATGAAATACATGGCTGGATAACAACAAGGAAAAACAAAAAACTGTGAACAGAAAAAAAAACACTACACTTCCTCACTGAACCACTACACTTCCTCACTGAACTCTCACCTCTGTGAAAGCTCCTAGTCAACACTAACAACCCACAAAGAAGACATTTTATTAAAAAGTTTCAAATATTCTAGTATTTTAAAATATCACATAAGTGTATTTTGCTTCCACTACACTTCCTCAATGAACCCTCGCCTCCGTGAAAGCTCCAAATCAACACTAACAACACACAAAGACATTTTATTAAAAAGTTTCAAATATTTTAGTATTTTAAAATACCACATAGTGTATTTTGCTTTGTCCACATTTATTAAGTCTGGTGGTTTTCATTTTAAGCAGACAAAGCAATGTTTTCAGATGACAAGCATTACCTGATCCGCCAACACCTTCTTCAGATCCACTCTCCAGCCACTGAGAGTCACTGTCCAACAGGCGGTTTTTTGATTCACTAAGCGGTTTGATAGGAAAGGGCTGATTTGAGCCAATACTGAAAGAAGAGCAAATCATTCAGTAAAGAGTTTAATGCTCGCTTAAGGGTACTTAATTAATAAGCAGCAAATTAGTATTCCTTTTCCTAAATACGTAAGGGCAACGCATGAGATCTCAGCACTCTGAAAAAACTCCATCTTCAAAAGAAAAATATGCCCCCAACCCCCGATTAAATGGCTCTCTAGACCCAAGAATCGGTACTCAGCACTGCCAATGAAAACAATTAGGCAAAAGAAAAATAGCTTCAGAGGCCAATCTGAAATGTGTTTAACGTGTTAATGTTAATCAAGAGCTGTAAGGTAGCACAGAACAGGTGAGGATCTAGGTCTGTGGCCAGGACAAAAAATTACCTGTCATTTCCCAAGTTTTCTGCTTTCTACCTCTGCAGTATAGATCTAAGGGGGAAAAATGATTCAGTGATTCAGTGCAGACTTATTTTTCTAGCTATGAGATCCAGGGAGGGAGGGAGTGGAGGAACACAAGAAGGAGGAAAAGGGAACTAATATTTTGGGGTACACACTATGGGCCAGACACTGCGCTAGGTGCTTTCATAATCGCCAGCTTCACAACAACCCCAGAAATAGGATGAATCCTCCTTTCAAAGAGCTGGCAGCCAAGGCTCAGACTAAGTAACTTGTTCAGGGCCACAGTAAATGTTAGAGCTGTGAGGTCCCAAGGCCTTAGGTTCTAGGTTCTAAGGCCCATGTTCTAACAAAACTAATCTGTGACCCCTTCTCCTCCACAGTTTATTTCTGGAGTAAATACATTTCAAGTGTTTCACTTTGACAGAGGTACCTCTATCTTCTTTAAAATTTCATCTAAAATGAACTATTTCTTTGAATTTATGAATCAGTGTGTTTGCCATACAAACTCTGAGAAAGTATCTTCTAAGATGAATAAGAAAAATTTTTGTATTTGTATTTTTGAATCCTCATTCATATTATTTTCACAATGCAGTTAAAATCTGTTTATCAAAATAAAATGGACAATAGTACAATGACTAACTTCTTTGAAAATATAACTGATAGAAACCAACATAATCAAATCTCAAAAGAGTCTCTGTTTCCAGGAAGACGCAGCACAGGTAGGGAAGCCATGCTTCCTTCTCTGCCCAGACACTTCCAGTGACACGAGCCTGTCTTGGCCCAACTACTAACAGCAGGCATTCATTTTCTTACTCTCAAAGTGTTCCAGTTTGAATGGTTACCAAGCATATCAGCTGTATGCATACACTAACCCTCAGTTAAAAACCTGAACAGAATTTACCTTTCCTGTCTCTGCCAGCTTGTCACATTCCTACTGGATTTATCTAAGTGTAACACACACACACACAGATTGCTTTGTAATGAATTCTGAAAAACTTAACAATAAGAAGCACACCTTCTGGCACTTTCACTTTGGTTTGAGACAGAAGCTTGCTCTGGATCCATTCCCACAAGGCGAGTCGGAAAACTGCAGCCGTCACCCTGGCTGCATAATGAAAAATACCAGTGATAATTCAATCATGTCAAGTTCAATCAAAGTGGTCAAATTTAACACCTATTTTTCAGAAGCATGGTATAAAGAGATTACTGTAACTTGTCATTTCAGAGAATTATTTCTAAGATTTCTAATTCAGAGGGTTATTAGACTTCACTGAGGAAGTAAGTCTTTTATAATTTACATGCAGTTAAAAACAATATCTTCTATGACTATTAAAATAATGATGACTACTAAAGTTATGATACTTTAAACACATAGATTCAAACATCTGGATAACTGACTTGCCTGTCACCATCACTTAAGATATCACAGATGCTCAAACTGAAATTCAAGATGTAAATTTCATATATTTATTCATTCAACAACATTCATTAAATAAATATTTACTGGATGGTTTAAGTACCATTTTAAATGCTAGGGACATATCACTGAATCAAAGAAAAGAAAATCTAAAAAAGTATAGTTATGCCTCACTTCCACATTCTTAAAACATCAAAACTTTGTCCAGGAGGGAGTTCCACTTCCAGCCAAGATGGATTTAATGGGAAGATTTGACCTGCTGTCAAACAGCTGACAGACAACTGTTTTCCTAACAGGCCGCACAGAACTGCGGTGTCTAAGATAAGTGAAGCCAGCCAAGGAGTCAGTTTCTGCCAGAGCCTGAGCACCAGCGGGTGGGGGTAGGGAGGGGTTGTGCTGGTGAGCAGGGCAAGGTGGTCTCGCTGAACTGAGGGGAGAGAGCTGAGCAAGAGGAAGATGTGCAGAGAAAGGGCTCCATCAATCTGCACAGCGCTCTACTTGAGCCTTGAGATGAATTCTCAGCCATGCGCGTGAATCTGGGAAAAGAGCAACTGCACAGTGGAGCTGCAGCGCACTGCCGGCGTATCAGCTGTATGCATCCAGCTCTGCTGGACCCGCCAGAGCAGAGAGACCGCACTGAACACGGGGATCTGGTGGGGGGCCCAGTGGGCTCTCACCTTTGTTGTAGGATTAACTTGCTACTCTACACCAATCTAGCAAAGGTTAAAACAAGCCTCAGGAGGACTCAGCTGACACTCAAGTAACATAACAGTCTGCCAAAACAAAATCCAACATTCTTTAAAGGGAGACAAATTTTAAATACTCAGAATTTGAAATGTCCACCATCCAATCAAAAATTACTAGCATTAAAAAAAAAAGTCAACAGAAAAGGTTTAGAAATGACCATGAAAACCAGAAATATAGACTTAAATGAAGAGAAATGTAAGATATGAAGAAAGAACCGAATCGAACTTCTGAAGCTGAAATATATATATATCTAAAATCTGAAATAAAAAACCTCACTGGATGAGCTTAACAGTAGACATTACAGAAGAAAAGGTCAGTGAACTCATAGACATGCGACAGTAGAAACTATCCAACTTGAAGCAAAGAAAGAGGGAAGAGAGGGACAACAGCAACAACCAGTGGGTCTCAAGGAATGTTTTAAGAAGAACCTGAAAAGCTAGTGGGGGGAGGGCACCGGAAGAGGGAAGCATTTGGCAAAAACAATAGAAAATTATATCAAAATTACTCAGACTTGATGGAAACTAAAATTTCATAGATCCAAGAAGTCTAATGAACTCCAAAGAGGATAAACATACGGAAAAGCATACAGAGGAACATAATAAGCAAACCACTTGTAACCAGTGATACAGTCAGAGTCTTAAAGGAGCCAGAGAAGGGGAGAGACAAAGAGTAATTTACAGGCATACCTCATTTTATTGCGCTTCATTCTGCTCTTGGCAGATACTGATTTTTATAAATTAAAGGCTTGAGGCAACCCTGCACTGAGCAAGTAAGTCTTCCAGTGCCATTTTTTCCAACAGCATTTGCTCATTTTGCATCTCTGTGTCACATTTTGGTAATCCTTGGTCTATTTCAAACCCTCCATTAGCAAAAAGATCACGACTTGCTGAAGGCTTAGATAATGATTAGCAGTGTTTAGCAATAAAATATTTTAAAATCAAAGTATGTACATTGTCCTTTTTAAAAAAGATCTAATGTTATCACTTAACAGTCTATGGTTAGTATAAATATTGCTTTTATATGCACTGGGAAACCAAAAAATTCATATGACTCACTCTATTGTGATATTCGCTTTACTGTGGGGGTTGGGAACCACACCCGCACTATCACTGAGGTGTGGCTGTACAAACAGTGGAATAAAGGTATTAATAAAAGGGAGGCTGATTTACTGACACAAACACAAGCCAGAGGATAAGGGAATGATATCTTTAAAGAAGAGAAAAAAAAAAAACAAAAAAAACACGAGCCAAGAAAACCAATTGCCAACACTGAAATTTCTGTTTAGGAGAAAATAACCTTAAAAAATAAGTCTGGGTTCCAATCAGTCAGGAGTGGCCAAGCCTGAATATGAGAGACAACAGATAAAGCACACAGAAGACGCTGGTGCGCTTCAAGGTGAAACAAGAAGACTGAAGGAGAAGTGAGCTGCCCACCAGTGAGCCGACGCAGAGACCCCGCGGGCCGCAGACATGCAGCTGTGGGAGGCGGGTGGCAGAAGAAATACTTGAAGAAGTAGTGGTTAAAGGTATTTTTCCAAATTTGATGAAAGTTTAAGTTACAGATCCAAGAAGCTCAACAATCGTAAGCACAAGAATCATGAAGAAAATAACATCATTTGCATGAAACTAGTGATAAACAAATTGTATCAAACCAGAGGTAAACAAAATCTTAAAAGTGGGCAGAGAAAAAAGTCATATTACACAAACAGAAAAAAGATAATGTCCACAAACGTCTCTTCAGAAAAAATGCAAGCAACGTCTATAATTCTATACCAAGCAAAAATGCCTTTCAAAAATGAAGGCAATTGGGAATTCCCTGGGAGTCTAGTGGTTAGGACTCTGTACTTCCACGGCCAGGGCCCAGGTTCAGTCCTTGGTCAGGGAATTAAGATCCCACATGGTTTGGCAAAAAAGAAAAAGAAGGCAAATATGTCATTTCCAAACAAATAATAAGCAATACAGTTAATTAAGGGGAAAAAAAAGGAACCCACAGCACTTATAAATATGGTACTTGAATTTCAAATACTTTTTCCTTTTTTATAATGACTTTTGTGTATGGATGGTCTAGGATGGCTGAAAATTTGGAAGAAAAGGAAATTAAGAATCACTTTGAGCATATATTCTCATTTAAATTTGAGGTAAAAACTGCATTATGTGTTGGGTCTTCTTTAAGATACAACGGATTATATAATCTGTACTGGAAAAATCTCTGAAGATATGGCTAATACATTCTTATGATTCTTTATTTTAAAAACTTATTTTCATTTTGAAGGATACGGAGTGATTATTATTTTCTATGAATCATCTTTTTTCCCCCTAATTCTCACTCAAATATATGCCCAAACTCTCCTTTATCCATAAAAAAATATGAAAAACAAAATACTTATATAATCAAGATATTCTGAGTTTTCCTTCTCAAAGCTCATAATGTCATAATATACTGGATTCTCTGAATCCTAAGACATGTAACCAGAGAGAGACTGTCACAGATTCCATAATACCTGAGACATGCATTTGAGAAGCTACCTTGAAAATATTGGAAGCAGCCAATATTTCTTTTCATCGCCAAAGACTTGTCTCCAGTTTTTATTGCATCCAAGTGAGAAACCATTTCCATCAGCTCCATATGAAAACGTGGGTGCACGGAATGATTCTGTTTAGATATATTTAAAAAAGAAGAGTTAACCTATTTGAAAATTATAAGAAGGAAGAAAAGTACCAATTTTTTTTGCTTTATATCTTTGATATCAAAAACTATAAATATAATTTAAAATAAATACCATATTGTAACACTTAAAAATGAGTTTCTAAAACTTTTCTGGGAAAACATAAAACCTCTGAATATTTCATCACCTTTATAAAATCTACTAAAGTATGTTCAATATACCTTACATATATATATATATATATTTAAGATATTCTATCTCTTGCAACTTCACTCATTCATTATGTATGAATTTCCTACTGTGTGTCTTATGGCACAGTTCTAAAGTTTTGGGATTCCTAAATAATTATAACTTACGTAACCTACTTACCTATGGTTGTTCTGTTTTTTCCAACTAGCCAGCAATGGTAGCTGAGAAGTGACAATACGCTGATGAAGAACATCGTAGACACAAAGAAAAGAAAAAGTACGTGGAATTTTGCACGTGTATCTGTGAGTTCATTCTGAGAAAATAGAAGAATTACTTAGAGAATAGTCAACCTCTAAAATATACTCTTTATTATTTGGTTCTTTAATGACTGTTGAATTCACCAAAAAAAAAAAAAAAAGCCAGGTATGAGAAGTAATAAAATAAATTAGATAATACATCCAAAAGCAACATGTCCCAAAGCAGAGAGCTGGTATTACCAAAGGGGCTTGCTTACATGTCAGGAAGAGTCACTTTAAAAACTGCTCTTAAATTTTAGCAACACTTTCAGTAATAAAAAGATGAACATTTTACTCAACATTTTTCTTTTACAGTTTATACATATATTTAAGCTTGCCCCCAACTCTAGCATACATGAGGGTTTTCTCCATCTAAGCTAAAATATTTGCTTGTGGTAGTTATGTATGCTGCTAACCAGAAGCTAGCTGTGATAAAGCTCTTGCTGGACTTCCCGAGTCTCTGTTCTTGGAACAAACATACTGGGAACAGGCTAGCCCTGGAGCTGCTTCCATGCCTACCTTTAAAGTCCTTGTGCATTCCTACAGAGCCTTTCCTGGTTAATTCCCAGTTCTAGTATATACATTTGCCACAAGGTATTAGTGAATGAAAACAGCATCTCTGTTACCTATCCTAATGGTCATATTCATTTCAACGGAAGCACATATTCACCTGGAAGTGAGGATCTAGCAAGGGGAGAAGCAGCAGCCTCGGGCAGTCACTCTCACAGTACAGGCCAACCATAGCCTCAGAGGACACTAGCTGCTCCTGTTTGACTTAAACACTGTTCATAGGCTAGTGAAGTGAAAGTGTTAGCTGCTTAGTCATGTCTGACTCTGCGAGCTCATGGACTGTAGCCCGTCAGTCTCCTCTGTCCATGGAATTCTCTAGGCAAGAATATTGAAGTGGGTCGCCACTCCTTTCTCCAGGAGATCTTCCTAATCCAGCGATCGAACACACATCTCTTGCACTGCAGGCAGATTCTTTACCATCTGAGCCACCAGGGAAGCCAGGCTAAGTGGCAGGTTTTTAGCGTTAGGTATTTCTGACACCTATCTTCTCCTCTTGTCTTCTAGAGGAAACACAACTCCTTTTAAGTACAAGTGATTCTTCTACCTCCCCATCTTGCGAAGCAAATGAGTATTATACATATTCACTATAAATGTCACAAAAAAAAGATGGCAAGAATGTCATGGCAATAATGTATTTTACCTTTGGACAACTCTCTGTAGATTTCCTGCGGCAAAGCTTGTACAAATAGAGACAGTGTATTAAGAAACCACTTTTTATACAAAATTATCCTGCTATTGTTATCCTTGCTATTGTTGTAAACCTTTCATGTCTCGAAGGGTCACTAACTTGTAGCTCTTTAAACGTCACTGATGACATTTTCTCAAAAAACCACAAAAGACAAGGACATTCCGCTCTCCAAGCACATTTAGGGTATACTTTACACACCCCTTCACAAAGTTTTTAAAACATATTTGTATCCAGGAAAGAATAAAATTAATTTTGCTTAGCACATAGCTTTTTAGCAAACTTCTGATGAGTGGTTTCTAAAAATCAGACCTGGTCCCTTCTGTCCTGCCTCACTAGTGGGCAGCAGCCTTGGGAGAAGTGCCGTCACTTACCATCTGGTCTAGTTCCTGCACAGCAACCTGAGGAGCCCTGAGGAAGTCAGATGGCCTCACCCCTCTCTGCTCCCCACTCTGACCCTGGAAACACCCCTGAAGGCCCTCTCCCCTGGGGCCTTCTCCTGGGCTGCACCAGCCTCCCTCTGGCTCAGCCTCACGAGCCTCCTGGCACTGGCTCCTCCTCTTGGGCTTTGACTCTCTAAAGTTTACATGCTTCCTCTGAGATGTTCTCTCAGATATCCACTAAGTTTTGTCCTATCTTTGTCAACTATTACCTTCTTACTGAGGCCTAACATGACATTCCATTAGTTTCAGGAGCTCAACATAACGATTTCACACACATCTGTAACTGCAGAATGATCACGACAGTAAGTCTAGCTGACATCCAACACCACACAGTCACAGAATTTGTTTTCTTCTGATGAGACCTTTCGAACTCTAACTCTTAAAAGATTTTCAAATATACTTACTGATTATAGTCACCATGTTGGACATTACATCTCCAGACTTATTTTGACCACCTTCACCCACTTTACCCATCCTCTACCCCATACTTCTGACAACCACCAAAATGTTCTTTTTGTCTATGAGGCTTCTTTTTTTTTTTTTAATTCCACATATAAGTTAGATAATATGGTATTTTTCTCTGACTTGATTCAATTAATATAATGCCCTTGAGGTCCATATGAGTTGTAATAAATGGCAAGACTTCCTTCTTGTTTTATGGTAGAAGAATATTCCATTGCACATTTTTAAAATTTTGTTTATTCTTGGTTGTGCTGGCTCCTTGCTGCTGTGCATGGGCTTTTCCTAGTTGCAGTGAGTGGGGGCTACTCTTCACTGCAGTACACAGGTTTCTCATTTGTGGTGGCTTCTCTGGCTGGGGAGCACAGGCTCTAGATGCATGAGATTCAATAGCTGCAGCACATAGGCTCAGAAGTTGCGGTGCACGGGCTTAGCTGCTCCATGGCATGGAGCATGAGTCAGGGATTGAACCCCTGTCCCCAGCATTGGCAGGCGGATTCTTATCTACTGGACTAAAAGTGAAATTCTTCACAGCATATTTATACCACAAGTTCTTCATCCACCAATGTAAACTTAAGTGTTTTCATGTCTCGGCTATTGTAAATAACCTGTGACACAGGGGTGCAGGTATCTTTGTCAGTGTTTTCGTTTCCTCTGGATATATTCCCAGAAGCAGAATTTCTGGATCATGTGATACGACAGTTCTAATTTTAATTTTCTAAGGACTCCTTATACCATTTTTCATAATAGCTGCACTAATTTACATTCCCACCAACACACAATGGTTCTCTTTTCTCCCCATCTTTGCCAAAACTTGTTATTTCTTGTCCTTTTGTAACAGTCATTCTAACAGGTACAAGGTGATACCTTGTTTTAAAAAAATACTTTCACTTATTTATTTGGCTGTGCCAGGTCTTAGCTGTGGGATGCAGGATCTTTAGTTGTGGCACGTGAACTCTTAGCTGCAGAATGTGGGACCAAGTTTCCTGACCAGGGATCAAACCCGGGCCCCTTGCACTGGGAGTGTGGAGTCTTAGCTATTGCAACCTACAGAAAATACCGCTGCTGTGGTTTTGACTTGCACCTCCCTGATGATTAGTAATCCTGAGCATCTTTTCTTGCATCTGTCGGCTATCTGTATGTCTTCACTGGAGAAAGGTCTATTCAGACCCTCTGATCATTTTAAATCTGGTTGTTTTGTCTCATTCTTGCTATTAAGTTGTGAGTTCTTTATATATTTTGGATATTACCCCTTATCAGATACATAATTTGCAAATATTTTCTTCCATCCAGTAGGCTTTTTATATTGTTGATAGTTGCCTTTTCTGTACAGAAGCTTTCAGTTTGATGTGGTCTCACTTGTTGAGTTTTCCTTTTGTGGCTTTTATGTTTGGTGTCAAATCCACACAAGTCACTGCCAAGGCTGATGTCAAGGAGCTTGCTCCCATGTCCTCTAGGTTTATGATTTCAGCTCTCACGTTCAAGTCTTTAGGAGCTGATTTTTGCTCATGATGGAGGACTAATGCTTAGTTTCATTACTCCACATGTGGCTGTACAGGTGTTCCAACACCATTTACTGAACAGACTTTTTCCCATTGTATATTCTTGGCTCCCTGTCATAAATTAATTTACGCTTGGGTTGATTTCAGGGCTCTCTTATTCTGTCCCATTGATCTATGTGTCTGTTCTTATGCCAATAACATACTGCTTTCATTACTATAGATGTGTAATATAGGAAGCGAAATACCTCTACCTTTGTTCTTCTTTTTCAAGACTGTTTTGTCATTTGCAGCTTTTTGTGGTTCCATACAAATTTTAGGGTTGTCCTACTTCTGGAAAAATGTTACTGGAATTTTGATGGGGATTGCAATGAATCTGCAGATTACTTTGGGTAGTATTTATATATGGTACTGATATTTTAAACAATATTAATTCTTCCAATCCATGAGCAGAGATTATTTTTCCATTTATTTGGGTCTTCTTCAGTTGCTGTCATCAATGACTAATACTTTCCAGTGTACAGATCTTTCATTTTTTTGGTTACAGTTATTCCAAGGTATTTTATTCTTCCTGATGCAGTTGTAAATGGGACTGTTTCTTTAACTTCTCTTTCTAAAAATCTGTTATTAGTGTACAGAGATGCAACTGATTTTTGTACATTGGTTTTGTATCATACGACTTCAATGAACTTGCTTATTAGCTAACAGGTTTTTTTTTTGGTAGCGTCTTTAGGATTTTCTAACATAATATGTCCTCTGCACACAGAGACAGCTTTACTTCTTCCTTTCATATTTGGATGCATTTTATTTCTTTTTCTTGCCTAACTGCTCTGGCTAAGACCTTCCGTACTGTGTTGAATAAAAGTGGCAAGACTAGGTATCCTGGTTTAGTTCCTGATATGAGAGGAAAGCTTTCAGCTTTTCACCACCGAGTACGATGTCAGCTGTAGGCTTGTCAATATATGGCCATTAAACTGAGGTACGTCCCCGCTACACTCATTTTGTTGACAGTTTTTTACCATAAGTGGATGTTGAATTTTATCAAATGCTTTTTATGCATCTATTGAGATGATCCTATAATTTTTATCCTTCATTTTGTTAATGCGGTGTGTCACACATACTGCTCTGCAGATGCTAAACCATCCTTGCATCCCTGTAATAAATCTTACTTGATCAGGGTGCGTGTGGTCCTTTTAATGTATTGTTGAATCTGGCTTGTTAATATTTTATTGAGAATTTTTAAAAATCTATGTTCAATGGGGATTTTGGCCTGCAATTTTCTTGTGGTGACCTCGTCTGGTTTTGGTATTAGGATAATATTGACCTTATAAAATGAGCCTGGAGGTGTTCTCTTGTCTACTTTTGGAAAGAGTGTGAGTTGGATCAGTGTAGGTTGTTCACCTGTGAAGCCACAGGTCCTGGACTTTTGGAGGTTTTTGATTAGTCAATCTCTTCTCTATTAATCAGTCTGTTCAGATTTTCTCTTCCTTCATGATTGGTCTTGGTAGGTTGTATGTTTCTAGGAATTTATCCATTTCTTCTGGGTAGTCCAATTATTTGTTCATAGAAGTCCCTTTGACCCTTTGTATTTATCAGCTGTAATGTCTCCTCTTTCGAGTCCCCTCTTTCTTTTTCTTTTTGGTGAGACCAACTGAAGGTCTCTCTATTCTTTAAGAAACCCAGCTCTTAATTTTAGTTACCTTTTTAGTTTCTATTTCACTTATTTTCACTCTGGTCTTTGTTATTTCCTCCCTTCTATGAACTTGAAGCTTTGTTCTTTTTCTAGTTCCTTGAGGTGTAAAGTTAGGTTATTTGAGATCCTTTCTTATTTCTTAACATAGGTTTATCTCTATAAAGTTCCCTCTTAGAACTGCTTCTGCTGCATCCCAGAACTTTTTTATGTTGTATTTCCATTTTCATTTGTCTCAACAGTTTGATTCCTTCTTTGACCAAATGGTTGTTCAGCTGCATGTTGTTTAATCTAAATATATCCGTGAATTTTCCAGTTTATTTTTCTTAAAATTGATTTCCAGTTTCATACTATTGTGGTTAGAAAAGATGCTTGCTATCATTTCAATATTCCTAAAATGACAAGACATGTTTTGTGACCTAACACATGACCTATCACAGAGGATGTCCCATGTGCACTTGAGAAGAACACATATTCTGCTGCTTGTGGATGTGCTCTGTGCTCTGTCCATTAAGTCCCTCTGGACCAAAGTGTCATTTAAGTCCAATACTTCTTTATTTCATTTTGTCTAGATGATCCATCCACTGATCAAAGGCCCTTACTGTGATCTTGCTATTTCTCCCTTTACTTTCACCCTTTATTTCTGCCTACTGTCTTGCTCTCTCATTTCTCCCTTTACTTCTGTTAATATTTACTTTATATATTTAGGTGCTCATTTGTTGGGTGCACAGATAATCTTCTCTAGGATATCCACTAACTTCCTTCAAGTCTCACTCAAATCTAATCTTCTTACTGAGGTCTACCATGATAAATCTTTTTAGTACTATAACTTGCCCATTATACCCACCTGCCCCACACACTTGCTAAGTCCTTTACCCTGATCCACTTTTTTCCCACAGCATTTAGTTTCCAATATACAATACAATTTGCTTATTTACTATGGTTACTGTTTGTTTAGTCCTTCTCAAAAGTAAGTTCTACAAAGAAAGAATTCTTTGTCTGCTTTGTACATTGATATATCCAAAGTGCCTAGAACATATGTGCCTGGCACATAGTAACTATTGAAGAATGAAGAGAAAAGCAGACTTAAGTTATTAGTCTTTCCTTACTCATCATGAACCTTAAAAAGTTTGACAATATTTACTTTTCATTAACAAATCATTACATGCAAACACTGCTGAAGTTTCTGATAAAAAAATGTGACATTCTGTAATCTGGACTTCATTCATCTGGTTCAACCTTCACTTTATTTACCTAACTTCTCCAACCTCAGTTTACAACTCTGAAAGCTGGAATAATAAGAGCTCCTTCTGCATTAACTATATTTTCTTCTTCTCTGCAGCCTCAATGCTCCAAGCATCTGGATCCCCGCTGACTGGGGAGAGAGTGCCTCTCCCAGGGCTATCTGTTTCTTAAAGAGACAGCAAGGAATGTACTTCTCAAACTATATACAAACTAATCGGTCCAGAGCCCACAGTCCAAAACACCTCTGGTTACTTGACTCTCACAGTTCAGTGGGCAATACTACCCTGCCCTACTCACACCAAACAAGGGACTGCCTGGAGCCCCAGAGACCACTGAGGTTACTCAAACTAGCTAAGCCTATGTTCACTTACCCTGCCTCACTGTGCCTCTCCCATGGACACTAGTGAAGGCTCTGGCCCTCGTGCTTTCGACTTCTTGAGCGACTCTGGTGCTTCCCCGTGTGGGCCTGTGTAGTGTGGTGGGAACCCTCCCTTGGAACTGTGAGTAACAAGCTATCTTTCCAGAGGTTATCACCTCCTGATCTGTCAGTTTCACCACATCTGAATAAAAATAAAACCTACATTTTAAAATACCTTCCTAGGGTTTTTAAGAAGAGTAAATACATAAGCACCTTTTAACCACAATAACCCCCACCTTCAAAATCAAAGACTTAAATGGAGGGAAAAAAAAATGCTAAAAGAAAAGTTGGATGAATATTTCTATAAATTTACAGTGACTAGAATAAAGCCAAAAATCACCCATAATTAAAAAGTACTACTTTAAAAATATAAAACTGATTTAGTAAAAACAAAATGGAGTTATATAAGACATCAATCAAAATGGGAAAACATTTGCCACTCACAATAGGAAAATGATTAATATCTACAGAGACAGGAAACAGATGAATGATTATCTGAGGCTGGGAGTTTCAATTTTATTACTGTAAAAACTTCAGTAAGTCTCATCAACTCAAATGAAAGGAACTACTTCCCTAAAATTGATAGCCCACTGTTAAGAGTATGGTTGAAAACAGTCTGAATTACTAAAAGAAACTCACTATGTCCTATGTAATACTCATTTATTCACAAATAAACATGTATATAGGAAGGGAAATTTTAACCCCATTTGTCTTCTGAGCCATTATAAATTCTAACTAGTACAATTAAGTATGTCTACTTATAATACAGAATGAAGGAATTCTTTATGAAATACCATCTTAAAAAATCTTAAATATAGGTTTGAAGATAGAAAAAAGACTTACCGTCCAAAATTTTATAAAGTACTGTAAAACTGTTGTAGCCACGAAAAGGCAATATAACAGAGAGTAGAATAAAAACAGCAGGAAGAATTTGTAATTAGAAAATCCCACACAGTTATTCACCCTAGAAGAATAAAGAAAATCACATTGTAAAAACAAGACAAACTTAGAGAAACAAAACTAGAATGGTGTCTGCCAGGGACTTTCGGGAGGGGAGCAGAGAGGTATTTAATGGGGACAGAGTATCAGTTTTGCAAGATGAAACAGTTCTGGACACTGGTCGCAAAACAATGCGAACATGCTTAACACTGCTGAACTTGTATACTTAAAAATGGCCAAGGTGGTAAATTTAATTATTTTTTTAAATCATGATGAACACAAATAGGACATATCAAAAAATGTAAAATCATTATAACTATAAATGGTTCATTTGAGAAGAAAGGGGTAGTGTCTTAATTGTGGATGTGAGTTTTAAATTAATTCTGTAAGAATTTGGAATTTCAATGTTAATTCTTAGTATACAATTTTTTGGGTTAATAACACCAGAATATATTTTTAAAGAAAAACACGTAAACAGAAACATAAAACTACATCAATCTTGATATCTAGGAGTAATTAAATTGATCTTCAAAATTTAGGAACACTGAGATCAATCACTCTAAATAAATACCCTCCTTCCCACCTCCCCACCTCATGTCATCTCCTTTGCGTTTTATACGTACCAAGGACAGTGATGGTCCATCTTAAGAATACACCTAAGAAACAAATGAGCAGAAGAAAATCCATGTAGAAAAATTCCACTAATTCTAATTTGATTTTTGTTTTTTTTGGACTTAAAATTTTTCCTTTCACAATACATCTTAGGAAAACCAACCCAGTAGAATGAGGTTAGAGACAATTTCTGTTATTTCACATAGGTAAGAGGCAGTGATTTTTCATACTGAGAATTGAGCTGAACATGGCGGGCTGCCTTGAACCACATCAAGCAACACTGTAATAATACACAGGTAAGATGCATATAGCACTTGGAAACAGTAGCTAGATGTAGTTTACAGAGTTAGCTGAGGAAGACAAAAGGGAAAGTTACTTTAAACATATGCAAGTCATAAAAACACAACTTTGGAAACAAAAGTGTTCAATAAATGGGCTTGTAGGTAGTCTGTCTTCCTACAGATATATTACAATTCTATCCCATGTATAAAAACCACTGTATTTTATAATCAGAAAAAAAAATCCCCACATTTGTCCCTCCATCAGTATATGCAATGTATATCTGCACAAAGTTAGACAATAAGTAAGATTAAATGGCCCACTTCACTGAAGTTCAAGGACTCACTGGGATTCCTACACTAAGAGTCTTTCTTTCAACACACCACCTTCTCACAAGAGCATAAGAGATAAAATCTTCCACATTTTAGGGGGAATAACTTCACAGGTGGTAATTGAAAGTAATAGCTCTGTGGTTTGTTAGGCTTTTAATACCAACATTAATAATAAAAGCAAGAAAACTGTCATGGTCTTTTTAATTCAGGAAATAAAGTTTATCTTTCTCATGGGGGTATTACTTACTTGCTCATCAATATTACATTCAAATATAAGCAGAAGAAGTACACATACTCAAAGATCTAAGTGGTGCAGGAACTGTTACCTGCAGTGACTTCAGCGAGTGTTCTGGCTCGTGCATGGGTTCCTGTCAGTTCTGCACACACAGCAGTGCCAGGAGCCGAGGCAGCGAGCGTCCTGCCAAGTTTCTCCCCTCGTCCTCCCCACACACCAGCTCTGGTCCCAGGCTGAATGACCGCCAACGAGGAGTACTTACACGTCACATGCTGAGCAGTGATGCGCACGGTCAGGCTTAATCAGCTGACACCTTTCACAATATCTGACGGCTACATTTAAGAATTAAAAGGAAGTTGTTGAAGGATATGTTTTAGAGTTGAGTTAATATGACTATAAAATCTGCTTGCATTTTTTATAAACAACTCTGGGAAACTGACAACTGATAATTTAAAAATAATACCAATAACTGAACAGACTTTTTGAGAAGATTTTTGCAGGGTCTTAGATGACTGAGTAGACAGAAAAACTGATGTAAATACAGCAATCAGAAAAATTGCAGTTTCCACGGTGTTTTGCCAGAAGAACGATGTTGCCGTGACAGAAATGAGCTTGGTGGGGTGAGGGGGTGGGTACGGGAGGAGGGTTCGGTTGTTTTTCTTGCTCTTCAACAAGCATTCAGAGTCTCTACTCTGAGACAAACACTGCTTCATGCTGAGAATATACAGTTGAACACGACAGACTTCCCTCCTGCCCCCAAGGTGTTAGGTTTTGTCTGGCTTGAATTTGGACAACAGGTCACTCGGGAACCACTGTCCTTTGGAAGCTGGAAGTACAAGAATGGAGCTAGAGTGGGCACACACGCCAAGGTGAATGCGAAGCCCTGACAGTGGTCTCCAGGGGCCCTGGGGGAGGGCTGGGCAGTGCCCTTCTGAAACCCTCACTCACAGACGTGGTAGATGTGTGACCCCGAGTGCAGCTGCCATCCCCTGACAACTTACTAGTGAGTGCTAGGGTGACCACAGCCTTGAGTCTGCTAACTTATATGAAAAAAAGGTTTAACTCAGCTCTGAAAACTATTCAGAAAACAAATTATTTGAGACACAGTAAACTAAACACCACAATATTGTGGTGTCAAAATCCCATGGCTGAAAACAGCTGAAGGAACTGTAGGAAAAGAACGGGACAAAAGCACCTTGTGAGGCAGGGTTAAAAAGCACAGGAGGAAGAATAAACATTCAAGAATGCAAAAACAACTAGAACAGGAAAGTACAAAGAAGAAAAGTTTTTTAAGCAGTTAGACTGACAAAAAGCCACTAAGTATGGTTAGGAAGAATGAAAGCCAGTTGCCTGGAACCTGCTGGAAAAGAAAAGATGCTGGGGTGCAGACAAGTTACAAAGAGACCTGTAATCATGGGGAAGAGAAAACAGAGTTGTAGTTGGAACACATCAGAACCTAACCTTTGTTGCAGTTTTTAAGAGGAGATGTACTCTGAAGTATACCTGCAAGCAGAAGGAAGAAAGAGGCTGGAAATTTTTAAGAAGCAAGATTTTTATGAGCAAACCGAGGGAGAAGGAAAGACAAAGGTCACCGATCTCTATGTAAGTCTCATAAAAAGACAAGAATGCGGACACCAGAGGGAGAGGCCTGCGGACAGCTGAGCATGGGCAGGGCAGCCCCAAGTCCAGAGGCAGCCAGACTCAACCACCATGATTCACACTGGTTCTCTCCCACTTACTCCCTTGTGACCTTGACAGTAACTTACTTGCTAAAAGACTCAATTTCTGCTTTTGTTAAATGCAAATAATATCAAGTGTAGCAGACTATTGTGCAAATTAAAAAAAAAATCTTCTGGAACTTATCAAATTCTCAGTAAAGCAATTATTATTGTTATGATAATATTATTTCTGATAAAACATGAAGTGAAGCTCCAGGACGGGAAAATTAGTGAAGAGGAGAAAAGGGAGATTTTTCAAGTGTATATATAAACAGCCATTACAGAGAACACCCAGGAACAGCTTCGCCCCACAAATGCCTACTGAGTGCCTGGGGCAAGGTGCTCACTGTGTTAGGACGAAGGGCGGAGCTCCAGTGGCCAGAACTTCAGGACTGAGTCAGGTCGTGAAGACAACCACCAGACAGCGAGCTGGGATCAATAAGGTAAGAAGCTGAGAAGTTTGGAGAAGACTGTAAAAATCACTTTTCGTTCAAGTGAACAGAAATGGCTGAAGAGGTAGACAGCAAGTTAAAATTTTAAAGTACTGACAGAGTTAGGAGAAAACAATGATTTGAGGCAGACAAAAAGATATAAAAATAAGAAGTGGGGAAGGAGAGTTTTAGTACAGCTGACCCAGGTAATGGTGCAGGACGAGCCAGAGAGAAACACTGGCCATATCCAGACTGTGGACGGGGGAGCTTACGAAGACTCATTTTTGAAGACGTCCACATGGTTCTGCTACTGTTAGGCACATGGTTTAAAAAGCACAGGAAGGAATTCAGGGAAAGTCGCCACCCCCGCTGTGAAGGCAGAGCCGTCACGTTCACTATCTCTGGTCTAGGAAAGGTCCACTTCATATAATGTGTGGTTCTATATTTTGTTTTTTAAAAGATGTATGGTATTATTTCCATAAAAAGAAAAAACCCAACGTTTGGGACTCTAAGCAGTAGAAATGGAGTATAAAACAGTGCTCAAGGGCAGAGACTGTCTGCAGTCAGAAGATAAGGCGTGAATCCCAGACCTTGCCACTCAGGGACTTTAGGGACCTCACCTGTGTCACCCCTTCATCTCTAACATGGGGACAAGTGCGGTGCTGTCTCAGGGTGGCTCTGAGGGGTAAATGATCACCATAAAGTGCCGAGCATAATTCTGGTGTAATAGTCAACAGATGAAGGATATTTTTCAGATTAGTAGAAACTCATTATAATGAATGAAGAGTAATAAAGATTTAAGGGTAAAGATTTTACCTCAGTGGCTTTCAACTCTTTGGAGTTACTGCTCTGAAAATCAGATCTTGCCATGAACAGGCTACTTCAAGAAGTACTTAGAATTCTGTATATAATCTCAGAGCTTCATAAATATTCTAGAATCTTGGTCTTGGGGTTAAAAACATCTAGGGAATTTCCTGGCAGTCCAGAGGTTAGGACTCTCAGCTTTTATTTCAGGATGGCAGGGGACACGGATTTGATCTCTGGTCACAGAACTAAGATCCTACATGCCTCCTGGCATGTACACACACACACAAAAAGTCTAATCTATGGAACTACAACTACTAACAACTGCTGTGAACTAGACATTTTATAGTTAAACATAAGAAGGATTATTTTAAATTAGCTTTTATGTACTGAAAGTGTATTACTATACACCAAGATCTACACTCAGTGCTTGTCTCATTTACGAACACCTCTGGAGATTTAGATGCTAGCATTCTCATTTTAAAATGAGGAAACCGGGCTTAGAAAGTCTAAGTGATTCTCATGGCACTAGTAACTAAAAAGCTGGGGTTTGATCTGAAATCCATGGTTTCATTCTACACAGTAACATACTGGTTGTGCAAAAGGACAGTCCAGGCACACCCGGTTTCATTATGCATCACAGACCCTGCGTTTCTTCACAAACTGACAGTCTTTGGGGACCCTGCACGGAGCAAGTCAACAGGTGCCATTTTCCCAGCAGCATGCGCTCGCTTTGTATCTTTGTCACATTTTGGTAATTCTCATGGTATTTCAAACTTCAGGATTATTATATTTGTTATGGTGACCTGTGGCCAATGACCTTTGACATTACTACTGTGACTTGCTCAAGGCTCAGATGATGGTTAGCATTTTTAGCAATAAGGTATTTTTAAATTAAGGTATGTTCGTGTTTTTCTGACATCGTGTGATTGTACACTTGATAGGCTGCCTTACAGTGTAAGCATAACTCACACGCACTGGGCAACCAAACAGTTCATGTGTCCTGCGTTACCACAAGACTCGCCTTACTGTAGTGTCTGGAACTGAACCCACAGTATTCTCCAAAGGGTGCCTGTATTAAACGCATGAAAACTTAAATGTTGGTCAAATATCCCCTCCTAAAGTCTAGCATGGATTTTAAATTTTCTTAAGTCAGCATATGTACAGAACTACACAAAGGAAAAAGCTCTTTTTATTTACCCTTGGAGTTGAGCAGCAGAGTGGGTTTCAGAGGCAGGACACCTCCCCACACTGTCTGTGTGACCTTTACTAAGTTACTTCACCTCTGTTTCCTCATCTGTAAAGTGGACACGACAGCGTCTCCCCACAGGGCTGGTGTGAAGCTCAGATGAGCTCATATGTGTAAAGAACTTAGATCGGACTGTCAGCTGTCAACATTATCTGGTATTTGAATGAATTAATGAGGTATATAATACATAATTTTAAACAACTTCCTACAATTAAATAACCAGTTGGGCGACTCACAGACCCGTCGCCCTCACAGGCCCGAGTGTCGGTGGAGTGCAAAGAACAGAAGCACCCACAGCTTCTGAGCAGACAGTGGCCTTCCAAGTCCGGCCCTCTGAGGGGTAGCTTTACAACCTTAATGAGTTTCCTCCCGTCTGTGGCTTTTATTTCTCCCCATTTTAGGTTAGCACATTCTTGATTTTTAAAATATTACTCAGGGATGACACAAAATATTCAAATTCAAACCAGGATTTCCAAATGACAATTTACTAAAAATTATAAATGAAAATTTTAGCCATGAAGGATGAGCTAGAAAAAAAATGCAGAAGAGAGATCGACATTAAAATGAACCACATAAAAAGTCTGTATGAAACTAGACTTTGTATCTGAAATACCTGTATCTCAGGTAAATCTATCTCAAATACCTGAGATAGGTTTATCTGAGATAAATACCTGCTTTCACATAAAGGTACACGCCTGTATCTGAAATACCGTGTAAGATACAGAACACAGAAAAGTCTTGTTTCTGCAGATGCCATTTGTGACAACCACAATACCCACTTAGTAGTCAAATCATGCAAAGATATTTTGGCAAAAATGACCACATTTTCAAAATTCTTTGGAGAGGGAACTATAAGATTTGTTTTTCTTACTCTTTGAAGCCGACGTGGTGTAGATAGGTAAGTCTCTTGCTGCTCTTCTCAAAATTTCTTGTTGTCTTTCTTGGCTGAATTCCTTTTCATAACGTTCCTTTACAGAACTGGGCAAACAGAACTATAGAAGGAGAAATAACTATCAATTCTTTTCAATCCCATGATTATTAACTATCATGCTCAGAAAAACAAGTTTTATCCAGAACAGAAAAAGACAAATATTTCCTTCTATAAAGGCAAAATTTTTCTTCAAATTTGTTTAGGAAGTTAAATCAAGCACCTTTTAACAAAACTACATGCCTTTGACAGACTGAAAATGTATGTCCTCCATGCTAATGATGGCAAAGAACATGAACTAAATATTTTTGCATCTTTGTTTTTTACAGAAAAAATTAACTTTCCCCATCAAAGAGGGCTTAATATACATTTTGTGCTAGTAAAAGATTTGCTGTTTGAAAGTGTCAAGAGATTATGAATCGTTGGGAAGATGTTCAAAGACTCACTTGCTTGGGGGCAAATCACAGGCAGGGGTCCTGCTATTTTCTGGCCAAGTTTCTCCTGAGGACAACTTTTACTGCTTTGTTTTTGTTTTTAAAACACTAAACAATCAGGGAACTTTCTCCAAAACTATTAAGGACTGTCAAGGCAAGCACAGTCTCCTTTTCTCAAGAAGCAGTTCTTTCGTAGGGCTACTTCCAGCTTCTATTTCTCAAGTTTTAATTCCCACGTGGTGGGTACCATTTCCCTACAAAGGACTTGTTTCATTGCTTCTTTTCATGTCATCCCTGTATCTCAGGGACCTCAGTTTCACGACTCTATTTCACGTAGCCAGGAGCTTTTATTAAATTTCTCTTGGTTTTTATTTCATAGATTTCTTTTAAAAACAAAAACTGGCCTGAGACAAGCTCTTGATCATGTTTCATACAATATTGCTCCTCAACTATTATTTACTTACAGAGTTTTGCTTGAAAAGGCCTAAGGAGTCCTAACTGGAGCTTCATCTTTTAAAGCTTGAGTATATGGTCTACCTGCCCACCCTCGATGACTCGTCATCAGTGACGGCACTGCCTCTTCTGTTAAAAACGAGACAGCACAGCACAGATTAGGAGCCCTTGGGATAAGGAACCTGTGATCCCACGCATCTCAGGGCAATTTTCTAAGACTGCATAATTATTGGCAGAGCTGATAGAAAACCACAAGTCCCTTGAGTTAGTTCTGCTCTAGGATGTTTCTATGTGAAAAGATGTTTTTGCCTTTTACAGACTTATTCCTCTAACCTAGACTAAAACACAGTGGCTGAGGCAACAGAAGAGTCCTTTTAGATCACCTAGCCTGGCTTCCACCACCAAGCCACAATGGCACAAGCAATCCCCCAATTACTTAGGAAGGACAAGAAAGAACTTGGATGTACGAACTGGACAGAAAAAATACACACCATCTTAAAGCTGACTCTGGAGGCCACCTATGTAAATGCCCAGGCACTTCTGAGATCCATCCCCTCCCAAACACTTTCAGGTACAGAACACTTCCCTACTCTGTAAGATGGCCCACTCTCCTTTAAGAAAGCTAACTTGCTAGTTCTTCCCTGACAAGATACATCTCTGGAACACTCGAAATAGAGAATAAAGATCATATGAAGTGAAGTGAAAGTTGCTCAGTCATGTCCGACTCTTTGCAACCCCATGGACTATACAGTCCATGGAATTCTCCAGGCCAAAATACTGGAGTGGGTTGCTGTTCCATCCTCCAGGGAGGATCATATGGTATAACGTTAAACACATACTTGGAAAAAAGATGCTCTCATCAAATTTTGCAGTTTCCCTGTAAAATCTGAACAGACTTCCCTGGCCTAACTGTTTCTAGGCAGGCCTCAAAATCATTACTTTTCCTTACGAACTATGGTTAAGAATTATGAAAAGTTTAAATCAAATGAAAATATCAACAGATACCAGGATTTTAGATGAGGAATGGAACAAGATAAAACTTAAAATGAATTTAGAACTTTGAAATTATTACTGTTTTTCATTAAATACTACTGAACAGAATTCAAACTATGAAATGTCATTATCTTAAACAGTGTTCAGATGTTTCAATTTAAGTGTATGTTTGGTACTGTCCCGGGTACCAGGGATTCAAAGATGAATAAAAATATAGCCTTTGCCTTCAAAAATAGATTCCTATAGTCCAGTTACGAATGTTAAGAATTACAAATGACAAATTATCAATTCTTTACCAGGTGTGATCAAAGCTCCCTCAGGAGGGGTGGGGGCTGTCCATGAATGTTTCTTGGAAGAAGAGGTACCTAAATTGGGTTTAGAAAGATAAACAGGAATCGTCCAGGAAGGTAAAGCAGGAAAGAAAATCTTGGCAAAAGCAGCAGCATATGGAAAACAGACAGGCAAAATGGTATATTGAGGGCAGCATGTTACTTGAACACAGACTTCCAGGAAGAAGTACTGGCACTAAGTGAGACTTCCGCTCCTGAGGGGCCATAATCAGGAAGCGAACAGACCCCTGGCAACAATGTGGGAGTGGATGGAAAGGCTGAGGTGCTGGGCTGAATGCTAACTGGGTGCAATATCGTAAACACAACAGCCAAAAAAAGAAAAAGTAGCAGTTAGATGGCACTTACTATGTGCTTGGCATTCTTCTAAGCACTTTCCATATAGCAGTAATAATATGCTATAAGTACTACCATTCACGTGTGTGTGTGATCAATCTATTTAACCCATACAACAATCCAATAAGGTGTGTATGACTGTCACCCTGACTTTACAGAGGATGGCTCTGAGGTCCAGAGCCGTGGCCCCAGTGCCCCGCAGCCAGTACAGCAGGGGGAGGAGGCAGACGGAGCTTGTACCTCTGTAATAGCCTGCTTCTCAAAAGTAATACCAACTGTTTTCCTTATTCTGTTTCCTGTAAAGACTATTTAGTTTTATACATGATATGTTTCCAATAGCCATCATTACTGGTAATCCTTTTCAATTTAAGAGATTAAGGTATGGATGGCAGCTTGTAATTAACTTTAAGGGCCAAATAATTATTAGCAAATGCCTGAAGAATATATTTGAAGCAACAGTAAGCTTGATTAATGGTTTACATTATCCCTTAAAACAAAAGTGCCCAACAGAAATAATGGGCTAATGACCATTTGGCATCAGCCACTACTACTGACTGTACAGGCAGAACCCAGCAATTCTCCTGGGCACCTGCCCCAAAGAGCTACATGTTTGTGTGTGCTAGAATGTGGACAGCAGTCCTACACCCAAATGCCCATTAACAGGAGGCCAGATAAGTAAACCGTGTCACATAGAACAATGGAGGATTGAGCCACAGCTACGTACAACAGCACGGAAGAATCACACAAGGAGAAAGTTCACGAAAGGCATGCGAGCAGACGTTCTGTGTGACTCCGCCCACATGAAGCACAGGCGAAGGGAGCCGGAGGGAGCACGAGGAGGCTCACAGGATGCCAGGCACGTTCTGCTTCTGAAACTGGGTGCTGGTTACTCACATGTGCTCAGTTCAGGAAAACTCATTCATACATTTACAGTATGTATAGTTTCTGCATAGTGTTCTTCTACAAAAAGTTAAATAGAAGTAGATGTCTTTAAACCTATGTCTGTAATTTTTAATGCATTCTGATGAATTTAATACAAAGGGAAGTAACTATATTATTATGTCATCTAATATTTGAGTGCTAACCACAAGGCAGGCCCGATGTTAAAAGCTTTCCATGAATGAATCTTATTTACTCCTCACAAACATCCTACAGAGGCGGAACGACTGCTGGCTCCACCTTCCTTGGATTCATTAAAAAACATGTTAGAGCAGAAGATCAAACTCAGACAAGTCTAACTCTGGAGAGTGTGTCCTTCTCCACCCAGCGTGCCCCTCTCTGTCCGGCGTGTCCTCTGTCTAGTGTGTTCTGCTCTATCTAGCTATGCCGAACTTGAACTGAAGAGAATCCAGTTGGCTCTATCAGGTGAAAGGGACACAACGGTCTTCAGTTTTACTCCACATATGTGTATACTTGTGTTATTTCCAAGTGAAACTTCCAAGTAGAAAAAACACTAGCCATACTAAGTATCACAAGCAACAGCACAGACGATTTGTTTCCCATAATCAAAACACTTTATTTACTTGCAGCTTATTTGTTCAGGCCTGAGAAAAAAAAAAGTGTTAAGAGAGTTTCTAAAAATAAACTCTGTTTTCCTAACTCAATTCTGTCCCTTAAGATTTTTCACTCCAGTGACATAAAGTATGTCTTTAAGAAAACACAGCATGGCACAGTTAAACCGTAGCGCCATCATGGATCTTTTACGAAAGACATCAGTGGGCTGTGTCTGAGAGGCTGACGACTCACATTCACAACGCAGTTACCGGGCAGTTTATGAATGGAAACAGAACAAACGCATCATGTAATAGTTTCAACAAAGGTAACACAGGGAAAACAATCCCATCATCAGTGAAAGCATTTGGTAATTTACCAGCATTAAATTTACCTCTTTGGAGGGGGAAGCGGGAGATGTGAAAATTGTCATCCAATAGGACCATACAAACATAACAAAGAACAGATGGAAAGCCACAAGGTAAACAACGGCCTTTCCTGGTAAATAAAAACAAACAACGTTTCATTGAATCCAGGTGAAAACAGGAAAAAGTATCACATGTTAAAACACAGTATTTAGAGTCAGCAGGCTCAATCCAATAAAAAATTTAATTAAAACATACTAAGAACATCAAATATATACACTCTTTTATCTGCAAGATGTAACACTACAGATATGAAAAAACACTGTTCTTGCATTTAAGGGTTATCAGCCTGGTTTATAAGTAAAGATTTGATTTTATTAAGTTGCTGGAGGTTTAAGTTGAAATCTTAAAAGCATCTCCTTCAAAAGCACTTCCTAAAAGTTAGATTTTAAATGAATTAAAAATTATTTAAGACAGATTCCATCCCTATGAACATTAAATCCAAGGAATTATAACACTGAAGATAACTCAATTCCTGGATTATTCACAAAAGTTATCCTAAATGTCATTGTCCTTTTCAACACAGGGTAATGTAAAAGTTTAGACACTCTGAATCTCTCCCATAACTGTTTCCTAAGTGGATTAGTGTAACATTCCAACATCATTAACTCACTGATATAACGAAAAACTTTTTGCTGTGTTCTGTAGTTTTTCTATCTGTAAAAAGATAGAAAGAAGCAAGAACTATCTATCAAGCGCTTAAATCCTTTTTCAGTTTGGAATGTAGCACCACAAACTCACTGAAGAAAACAAAGCACAGACAAGCATAAAAGTTTGAGGTTCTACTCAATTTTTAAAGTTCAGATCAAATGTTACTTTTTCCAAAAGGCTCTATTACTTTCAGAATTTCTCACTCCTTCATACTATTCTTCCCAAATGATTTACTCGAACTTCATTTAAAGCACTTTAAATGAGTTTCTTTTAATCTAGCTGCCTAATACTGATGAGTGAATAAATGGAAAACATTTAGAACGGTGTCTGACACGCAATAAATCCTCAGTGAATACTGGTTATTGTCATCCAAGCATATCAATTCCTTCTTCTCAAAATCTGTGTTTTTTTGTGCATTCCCTATTTCAGTGTTTCCCAAGTTTATGGACTGATCCGAGTTTTCACTGGTCTACAGTTAAATGAGAAACACTGAGAACAATGCAGTTAAGTTTTTAATAAAGCTAATGTATTCAATCTGAACAACTGTCCTTTTTGCCCTGAGGTTATTCTTCCTTAAGTTTCTGGATTTTAAAAAATGCTTTTAAATAAAATGATGATAAAAAATTGACCCCAACTTGCTGAACCCCAACATTTCCTTCTGCAATCACACTGGTTCACACTGGTTTAACACAACAGAAGCCTAAGCCACACTGGTGATCGAAACAGGAAGCCAGGGCTTGAGGACTCCTCAGTACACGGCTGGCTAATCTCACAAAATGTGTACTTTACTTTCTAGCTCCCAAGATCTGTGCCACAGCAAACATCTGTCTTCTCACCGCCAGGGCCCTAGCTCCTTGACCGCTGCTTGTCTCGTCTGGGTCGCTGCACAAGCCAGCAGGTGTCCTTGCCTTTACTTTCTACGGTTCCTGGTTCATCTCAATGGTCAGTGGAGAACATGTGGCTCAGAGTTTCTTCTGCCCACTGGCTGTGAAACTCCTGAGAAAGCGCTCCACCTACATGACTAACAAAGGCATGCTAAAACTCCGGAGTTTCTTAGTAACCGAATTTAACCGAAGAGCCTCAATCAGCCTTTCCACATGCTGAAAGTCTCCGAGGAGACATAACGTAACCCTTACTTATAACCCTCATGATGGTCTCGTAGGTATCCTTTCAGTTTACAAAGGTAAAAACAAAGGCTCAGAGAACTTCATACCTTGCCCAGTGTCACTTACTGACTAAATGATAAAGCCAGAATTCAAACCCGTATATGTTTGATAAAAATCCAAGGTCTTTCCCACTACGTCATATCTAAAATTATCCTCTCCACTTCTCTATTATCTTAGCATCACTCCTACTTCAGAGACAGCCAAGTCCCACATGAAGTCCTAACCACAACTTCCTTCTATTTGCAAATATGCTTTCTTTTCATGATCACAAATATTGTCTTCCTCATTGAAAACTCTGGTTCCTCAAAACTCTGCTTTCTCTACCACTTCAGCTCCCTCTAGGCTAAACCCTATGGTCTAACCAATGGATTCGGTATCATTCCTTCATTTTTTTTTTTTTTTCCCTTTGGGAAAAAATGCTAGATCTCAGCCTCCTACTGTTACATGAACATGGAAGTCCTTCTTTACCAAGTCTGCAATTTTATCTTCACCTAGCTCACATCACTTATTATTGCCTGGCTCCTATATTCAATCAAGTTTATCAATCCTCAATTATATATTATTGTAGAGCCTTCAGATAAATGGTAACCTTGAGGTTACTTTAAACATCTTAATCATTTAGCTACTTACAACTAAGGCTAGAATATAAAACAATACACTCTTTAACATTGTTAAACATTTAATATTTCTTTAGAATATTTCTGCTCTCCATAAGAACAAAAACAAATAGTTTTTCCCTTAAAAAATCTTTACTTTCAGATAAAGAAATAAGAGCTTAAATAAATCTTTTAGTATACTGCCTGGAATACAGTTAAGTGCTTAACAGATGGTAGTTATCAAATTGTAATATAAATAATAACAGGAAATATTGTTTTTAAATAAGTCCAAATTAATGGGATTACTAATAATCCCATATATATGCTATACATTATTGTTTATAAGTAATAAAGTAAAAGTTAAAATTAAATCAAAGCTGAAAGAAAAAACTGAATATATCAAAAAAGTCTGACTCAAAAATCACCTGTAACTGAATTAAAAAAACAAATAAGCAAACAAAAAAACTTCACCAAAAGACTCTTTGAAAGACATGGGGAAAATAGCCCCCAGAAATAATGATTCAAGTAAAAGTTCTTTTATAAGAACTTCAGAAATTCTCTACTTTCTGTACCTGTGATTTCAACATACAGGAAATAATTTTAAGCAAGAAAAACAAGCCTATCAAGATTGTCTCTACTTATTCTATTACTGAGAAACTAGAAACCAAGTCAACTTGAGATTTACATGCTTAAGGTCTATTTTCAACAATAAGAACATTTATTAATAATTTCTAGGAAATTCCTGGTGGTCCAGTGGTTCGGACTCCCTGCTGCCACTGTAGGAGGACATGGGTTCAATTCCTGATCATTTTAATAATAATAATTTCTAACTATTCTACTGTTTTAGAAACTTTGATTTTTGTATCTCAAATCCAATTTTACTTTTGAAATTTGGTATCAAAGGACATAAAATTTTATTTCAATGAAATTTTGAGTCATGATTCTTCTCTCTACACACTGTCTCCTTGACTAGTCATAAAAACTTTAATTCCATTTCAAAATGAAGTAGTACTATAATTTACAAATTCAGTCTCGTTATTTAATTATTAAATGACTATGAGTAGTAAAGTACTATTTTAAACAAAAAGAAAAATGAGAACAAACAAAACAAACCAATAAAATTTAAACTTTTAAGAATGTATATTTTCTTTCTGAAACCAAAACAGTCATCACTAAAGTAACAACTATATGGGTTGCAATTAAGACACTATGTCATCTACTTGAGAATAAAAATTAAAAGTGCCTTACCGTTTTCTCCATTTCCAGAAAGTGTAACTAGAATAGAAGAAAACACAGGGAATAAATATACTTTAAAAACTTTTTTATAAACTTTATTTCAGGCTGACTATTCATCTTAATATCATTTTCATAAACATAAAATTTAGTTATAAGATGTAAACGCTAATGCAAATTCAGAATTGCACACTCAAAAAAACCCTGAAAAACTAAAATTCAGATTCTTCTTTATCATTAACACTGTAATCATATTAAAATTTTTTTTCAGACCGTTGTCAATTTTAAGTATGTCAATATGATTATAGCTATGTTTTCTTTCGCTCTTTTCTTAATGTTGTCTACATAATAAATAGGATTTTCCTCTGTGGCACTCAGGAACACAGGAACTTACCCCTGCAGGGGGTAAGCATTTTTTTCTTTCCAGTTTTTGAAACCCCGAGAACAGCTTCTGGACAGTCCAGTGGCCTCTGGGTACCATAGATTCTACTACCTCAGTCTCTTCAAATACCCCACCCTCTCTCATTTCTCCTATTGCCTTCTTTCAGGACTTTCTCAAATGCAATGGCTTAAAGCTACTCTCTACTGTTAGTTTAATACATCCTCACTACCAGTAAATCTAAAGATCGAACACGCTTCAACACCCCTGGTCACTTTACAGAAAGAGGTCCAAAGTCTTCAGAGCAGCAAACACTTATGCCCTCTGTGATCTACAATTTGATATTTCTGAGGGACACTGATAAAAACCTGAACAAGTGCAAGGGCTTCCATTCTACACGGAAGAGTCATCATTAACATGTTCTCCTGAGGTTAATCTCATACATTTAGTGTCATCTCAGTGAAAATACTTCTATTTTTTAGCTAGTCAGATCCCAAATTTCATTTGTGGAAAAATAAACTTATATGATGAGGTAGAAAATTCTGCAAGAGATGAAAAATGAAGTAGTAGTCATGCTAAATACTAGGGCACAGTATTTTAAAAATACTACAAATGCTCCAATTATTAAAAAACAGTTGTACCAGCTCATGAATAAACGGATCAATAGAACAGAACAGAAAGCTCCCAAATGATTGTTGTTCAGTCCCGAAGTCCAGCTCTTTGCAACCCCATGGACTGCAGCATACCAGGCTTCCCTGTCCTTCACTATCTCCTGGAGCTGGACCCAAATACATGTAAGGATTTACTATGATAAATACGGGATTTCAAATCAGTGTGGATACAGCCATTAAGTAGCATTAGGACACAGGAAGCCATGTGGGAAGATACCACTGAGACTCACAACACAGACCAGGATAAACCCTAAATGTACACCCAAGACTGAAATGCAAGAAATAAAAATAAAACAAAATCATGGGTATACTAGATGAAACAGGAGGAATCTAAAAATATATACACTTTTGGAGCCAAGTAGGTGTTTCAGTTTATGACACGAAATATAGAAGCCACAGGAAAATATCAATATATTTGATTTTATAAAAGTAAATGCTTAAAAAAAAAAGTAAATGCTTGAAAAAAATCACTAAAAAGGAAAAAAAATAGTCACAACTGTTACTATAGATTAAAAACTAATTTCTCTATTTAAAGAGTACCTACAAATCAGTAAGAATTTGTTAAAAAAAAAAAAACCAAAACAGTACTTTTTCACAGAAAAGGAAATACAGACATCTCAAACATAAAAAAGATGGTCAACCTCATTCATAACAGAAATACAAAGTAAAACTACAGGAAGATAACATTTTTAATAATCACATTAGTGAAGATCAAAAGCTAGTAGCCTACTTGTGATCACACTGTCAGAGCAGAGTTCTGGTTTTGACTGCATCTGGCTGACAGCGTCTGGTCTGCCTCATTGAACTCCCCCCGAGACAGCCACGCAACTGCAGGATGCAGCAGAGCTGCTGCGCCCCAAACGAAGCTGGACAAACCCAGACTGAGCAGAGCTACTTCTCCCGGAGGGCTCTCTTGACCACAGGAGCCGGCTCAACACATCGCCTGGGCACACAATCCTACGGCACTCTAAAATTCCCTTATCATAATACCACTGACACTGGTACGCAATTGTGAGTTTCTAATCGGCAGCTCCTTCCAGATTTCTCCTGGAGGAAAGGACACGACTGAGTGACCAGCACCTGGCACCGGGTGGTGTGGAGACAGCCCTCAGTATCTGCCAGCTGCCCACCGATTACAGACACAGGCCTGTTAGAAGCTGTCTGCAGAGCCTCTAGCCTCACACAGGCGTGTTCCATTTTCCAAGGATCCCAATACAGGTGAAAAAATTCTTCTGATGATAAATCCACAATTACAAAAACATTACATATACCTAAATGGTTACAGGTGCCTTTTAAAGGTATAATGAATGTTTTTCATTCGATCATGTCAGTGACCACATATCATCTCATTTGCAGATAATATTAATCTAAACTTAAGATTTTTTGTGAACATGAGAGCTGCCACATGCCCTTTTCCACTTAACAGCCACCCTTTCTCATCTCTGGCTTCCGTGGTGGTTCAGATGATAAAGAATTCACCTTTAATGCAGGAGACCTGAGCTCGAACCTTGGGTTGGGAAGATCCCTGGAGAAGGGAATGTTTACCCACTCCAGTATTAACGCCTGGAGAATCCCATGGACAAAGAAGCCTGACGGGCTATAGCCTATGGGGTTGCAGAGTCAGACATGACTGAGCTACTAACATCCTTTCTCACCTACCTTCCCCCCTTAACGGAGACTGAAAATCCCAGATACTCTCACTTTACCACCATCCTCTGTCTCTACCCTGGCCATGTGATATAGAGCCATGGCTGATGAATATGTCTTTGGTAAAGGAGAAATCATGGTGGAAAAAAAAGCTTTCTTCCTTGACAAGTGAGAACGTGTCAAGAGGAGACAGCCGTATTACTGCCTTCATCCAGCTTTTGCTTTGGATACTTAAAATGAAGGGGATGCTGACATCTCGAACAGCCAACCTTTGCTAGACGTGGGATTCTGGGTTGATAGTTCTCCTCTAACACTTGAGAAATGCCACCACACTTCCTTCTGGCCTCCACAATTTCTGATGAAATGCCTTCTGTTGTTCTAACTTTCCCCAGAGGTTAGGTTTACTTTTGGCACTGTTTTTGACACTCAGCCATTAGTTCTCAAAAGTCTGGCTACGCGTCTTGGCATGGACTTTGCGCGAGTGCCATCAGTGAGAGCACTGCGGAGGGTGGACGACAGCACTGACGAGGTGCTGCACAGGGAACCATCTCCGGGGCACATTACTCCACCTGGGGCACTTGGTGACGTGGTGACTTCAGGCCTCTCCTTTGTAAAGGTTCATTTCTCACTTTGACAATGAAACCATTTTGTAGGGTAAAAGGTTAAGGGTATGTGAATATCTTCTTCCCCTAAAACTTTCCACATAATGGTTTTAGCATCCACCGATAAGCCTGGCCTGAACCTATTATTTTGTAGAATTAGAAAAGCACCATTAAACACCCCTATTATTTATTTCCATACTTTTAAGCTGGCATTCTTCTGCAATGAACTTTCCCTTACTGGAGATGAACTAGAGTCATTCTAAAAAGGCAGTACAAAAATATAATTATTTCCCTTTAATCACCCATTTTCAGAATAAGATTTTGGTATAATATTCACCTCCACTGTTAGCAAATAAATTTATTTTTTCCCTTTTTGAGTATCAATATAGAATTTTACAGATTTTATTTACTCAATGTGTCATCAACCACAATCACTTCCTATGTTCAAATTATCTCAGCTTGGCCTCTTGAATCGTCCTCGTTGGTCTCTGAGCACTTCCAAACACAGCACAAGATTTCTAGGCTCACTGTACATCCTCCTCCCCTGGACCTGATATTAGCCATTTCTCCAAGGGGCACTGGTTCCTTTTAATGATATTTAATATAATTTTGTTTATTTATTTTTGGCTGTCCTGGGTCGTGGTTGCTATGTCGGCTTTTCTCTAGTTGTAGCAAGCAGGAGCTACCCTCTAATTGTGGTGTGTGGGCTTTTCGTGGTGGCTTCTCTTGTTGCAGAGCGAGGGTTCTAGGGCACTCAGGCTTCAGTAGCTGTGGCTCCCGGGCTCTGGAGCAGAGGCTCAATAGTTGTAGTGCACAGGCTTAGTTGCTTGGTGGCTTGTGGGATCTTCCCGGAGCAGGGATCAAACCCATGTCTCCTGACTGGCAGTCGGATTATTTACTACTAATCCACCAGGGAAGCCCCTTTCAATGACATTTAGAGACCAAGCTTTGAATTCCAGTGGTGCTTAGAGCTACTGGTGTTTCATTGCTTTTGGGCCCTTTGGATTACAGAAATAGTACTATACATTAGAAGCAGTGTTATACATTTGTATTTCCAGTTCAAATAGAACATTGGTTTTTCTTAATTTTTTTGGCATTATATTTGTATCTTTTTACTTTCACAATAAAAATCTCAGTTCCTAATTTATTTATTAAATTTATCCTAAAATATACAATAAAATAGTTTAAAAACTACATACTAGTTTAAGATTTCTTTGAAGCTTTGTTTTATTCTGTTTTGGCTTTAAATGACAACCAGCTAAGGAGTACTATGTTGAAAAGTCACTTGAAACAAGTCTTTCTTCTGTGTAGTTATAATATTAACTTTTAAAAATTAAGTTCATTTGTTTCGTGATTTCAAATTTTAGTTTGCTTTTACCTCCTCTTTATTTTTGATATATAACAAATGTTAATGTTTAAAAGCTAAGACTATATAAAAAGATACTCAAGAAAGGTCTAGCTTTCATTCCTTACTCCCTCATCCAAGGTAATAATTTTTATTACTGTTTTATCCTTCCACCATTTCTTTCAAAAAATAAGCACGTAAGTATGTATTTCTAATTTTTTCCTTTATATCCTGGTTTCTTGTTGCTGTTCAGTCGCTAAGTCAGGTCTGACTCTGTGACTCCTTGGACTGTAGCACGCCAGCCTTCCCTGTCCTTCACTATCTCCCAGAGTTTGTTCAAACTCATGTCCACTGAGTTGGTGATGCCATCCAACCATCTGATCCTCTGCTGCCCCTTC